TTTCTTTTACTTGCTCCCTCTTTCAGCCCCCTTGAGATATGGAACGGTAACTTCATCCCGCACCATCCTTAAAGCCTTGGATATTCCAAAGGGACATAAGGTTGCGATTTCTAGAAGCTCATACCTTCAATGGACCTATCCTTGACCATCAGTCGCACATTCGCAACGCAACTTTCATGAAGCGCGCTAACTGTAGAACTGCTTAAAACCATCTACATTCATATCTCATAAATTATCAACCCAGCTATGTAATTTACTACAGTGAATATTGTATCAATTTGATCTTGCCTGTAAACTGGCATGCCTCATGTAACAAACTGTTATTTGAGAATAAATTATTATTATTATTAATGAGGATAGTAGGTTGGTGAACCTGTATTAATCTTAACACACTGCTTTCCAGTGAGGGTCCAGCTTTTCCTTGAAAGTATTCACTGATGGAGCTGATACCACTTGTTCGGGTAAGGCGTTCCAATGATTGACTACTCGATGAGAAAAACGGGACACCACTTTAAGTTTATTAGATCTTGGTTTATGAACCTTCTTGCTATGACCTCGGAGATTATTAATGCTGGAGGGAACAAAAAGATAAGACATATTAACACCCAAATCATAATTAAAGATACGAAATGCCAGTATAAGGTCACCTCGTGTCCTACGACACGACAAGGGGAAAAAATTTAGGCGTTTTAAACTCTCATCGTAAGGGAGTCTAGAAAGACCCTTCACTAATTTCGTTCCCACACGCTGGACACGCTCAAGGGAGTTAGTACCGTTTACCAGACACGGGCTAGCTGCTTGGATACAGTACTCTAAGTGTGGTCTTAAATAGGTGGGATATAAAATTCGAAACGTTTCCTCGTCAAAAGATTTGAACGCGCGGCGAAGTGACCATAACGCACGAAAACCTTTGACAGCGGCTGCTTTGCAATGCGTAGTTGTTTTTAAATCATGACTTAATACTACTTCTAAGTCTTTATGCTCTTGAACGCATGGAAGAGGTTTACCCTCAATAGTGTAACGGTAACTATTACCGTGACCGATGTGCATTAGCACACTCTTCCTAGCATTAATTTCTAAGCCCCACTCTCGAGCCCATCTAACTAAATCGTCTAAGTCAGCTTGAAGATCCAGATGATCAGCCGCACTTTTTATTGTTCTCCAGATTTTTACATCATCCGCAAACAATAATGTCGACGACCTAAGTAACAGCGGTAACTCATTAACGTAGAGAAGGAAGAGCAGAGGGCCTAAGATGGTGCCTTGGGGTACACCACTTTTGACCGGCTTCCAATCGGATAGCGTTCCGTTGACCCTCACTCTCTGTCTGCGGTCACATAAGAAATTTCCTATCCACTCATGTACAGTACCTATTATTCCGAAGCTCGTGAGCTTCTGCATAAGACCTACGTGTGAAACCTTGTCAAATGCTTTGCTAAAATCTATGAATATCACGTCGACAGACAGACCGTTATCTAGGGCTGCTGTCCAATCCTCCCTCGCAATAAGCAAGTTAGTCAAGCATGAACGCTTGTTACGAAATCCGTGTTGCTCAGGAGCTAACAGATTGTGTAAATCTATGTGGCTTAGCAACCTAACCCAAATTATCTTTTCAAGTAACTTAACGACTATGCTAGTTAGACTGACAGGCCGGTAGTTAGATACTACCTGTCGCTGACCGTCCTTAAATATAGGACTAACTATAGCGTCCTTCCAATCTCTAGGGAGTTGAGCGAGTGAGAGAGACATGTTGAAAAGTGTCGCGAGCGGTTTTGAAATAATGTCCGCAAGAGATGACAGCAACCGTGGATGTAACCCGTCAGGGCCCGGTGTCTTACCAGGTTTGAGGTTAGTTATCAACGGAAGGACAGTTTCCTCAGTCACCTGTACAGATTCTATGGTTGGTATCTCGGTGTGAGTGGGACAAGTATTTGTTACAATAAACGTGGAGAAGACTTCGCTAAAATAGTTTGAAAAAGTCTCTCGATCTTATTCAGCTAGTAATTCTGAATTTTCGTGTAACAGTAACGGAGGAATACCATCACTACGTTTCGTCCGCCGTTTAACATACGAAAACAATCGTTTCGGACAAGCACGGCTATCATATACTACCTGTCGTTCGTAAGTGGTACGGGATTTGGCTATGGTTTTCCTACAGATATTACGGAATTTTCGGTACTCACGCTTAAATGGTGCATGACCTGTCAACAAGAATAAGTCCCAGAAATGTTTCCTACGCTTTAACAGCTTCCGGGTTTCCTTATTAATCCATGGAGGGCAATGTGATAGCTTACGTGCTGACCATGGGATAAACGGCGACGTTACGGACTCGAATGTAGCCTTAAACTTATTCCATTCATCTTCGATAAATCCATCCGCGTCGACCGACCAATCAGTCGAGATAGCACAGTTTCTGATTTCCGGAATATTAGCTCGCCAGATATTGGGACGGGGTGGAGCAGATACGAATTGTATACCATGTGTCCTAAACTTAAAGTGAATTACAACGTGATCACTGTTCACTAGTGGGGGAAGGTGCTGAATATCAAAGACAGCCTCACAGTGGTGGGTGAGGGCGAGGTCCAGCAGTGACGGATCATGATTGAAATCAATATGTGTCGGTTTTGTGATACATTGTACAAGTGCAAACTGAATAACGGTAGATAAAAGGTCGCTATCGAAACCACTACCTGGAGCTGTAAGCTCTATCCAGTTGATGTGCGGTGCGTTGAAGTCCCCAATGATGAGACAACATTCTTCCATACTCCAAGAACAGATGTGTCTTAGGATAAAGTCGTCAGCAAAACAAAACGGACTACAGTATATTCCCCCTATAGTCACTAAGCCACTTCTAGGTTTGATATTACAACATGCAACCTCACATGTGGCATTGATATGAGCCTCCGATATGGTTGATTGGCGATCAATCGTTCTACCCATACAGGCCTCGGAAGCATTGGCTTCCAAGACCTGAATACCCGAAAACCCTTAATGGTAAGGTTATTTTCGCCATTTAATTTGCGAGTCCTCAACTCCGTAAGAGCATTCTTCCAATTGATTCGATCCTCAAGCGGCCAATCTGGTCGAATACGGATATTTGAGTCACGATTTTTTGGTGCGTTTTTCAATAATATGTCTCTTTCTTCGAAACCCCCGAGAACCAGTTTTAGGATTCTTCTTGGTTGGGTCTCGCCTCCAACCCACTTACCGAGTCGTATTACTTTTGTAATATGTACCCCTGAAACCTCTTCAGGTAGCACATTTTTTACCACAGACTCCACTAACTGCAGGTCATGTGCATGTCTTCTAGCAGGGTCGTTATCTTTCGATTCCTCTAGATTCCAAATAATTAAAATAGGAAGGGGTTTAGCTTCCTTTGAAATTGTGTTAACAGCTTTCGACCGTCATGATAGATTCTGTATATTAACTACTGGTACCTTACGATTAGCTTTTATCGTAACAGAGTCCTGTGAGTGACTCACAACCGTGTTAGACGAAGCTTTACTTTGGAGCTTTGGCGGATTGGTCTGAGAGTCCACCAAGGACTTATCAAGTAAACAGTCATTAGTTTTAGCTGTTATTTGATTTTTCTTCTCAGTCACTCCAGGATGGGTTTCACTCTCACCATCAGATTTTGGTAGTGCAGTATGTGACTCATAATGAGAGCCCATCAGTGAGTTACTAACTGCCTGTGTACTGCCTACAGCTTTTTTCGTTTCGTTTCGTTTCCTACGTACCGTAGTCCATTTTTCATCCCTCAGGACATTGGGACTATTTGGAACGGTGATGGTTTTATCCAGTTCGTCGGTTCCCACTAAAGGTGCATTGTTATCAGTGTCAGTACCAGGTGGTATTACTCCCCTTGTTAACGTTAACGGCGATCTCACTTTTGCGTCGGTCAGAGTCGGTTGTTTGAGGCGTCGCGTAACAGCACGTACTACACTGACACAATCGTCACTGTCAGTGCCGGCGTTGTCACCGCATGTGTCATCGTCTTTCTTGCAGGCCAAAGCCAATAGGCCCATAGTCTCCTGAATCAGTACCTTTTTATCCGTACAGCAGAACATACAAAGCCAATGCGAGTTAGGCTTTGAGCATCTTTTGTATGCCATCGGACTTAGGCGTGTACACATTTTGTGGTACTACTTTTTACAGTCATCACACTGCATTCCCTCCTCAACGGGGAACAAACAATTTGGTTGCCCACATTTGTGAGTCTTACCAACCAGTGTAATTAGATTTAAAGGGTTTAAAAACACACAATGATCACAATGTGAACACAAGTGTTAGTCTAGGAGTAAAAAAGGTACCTAGGACAAAATTCAGCAAAACATTTCAAACTAACTAAAGTACTTTTGGTTAAAGTAGACCAAGAATGCTTTTTAGTGCAATAAGTACCCAAAGCAAGTATAATCACAACAAGTACAAAAATCACTGCCTTTTTGGGAACGAGCGCGTATGGATGAACTAAAATTTTAGGATAAAAAATGTATACGTTCTAAAAAAAATCTGTGCAAATCTCTTGTGGGCAAAACCGCCAAACTGTCGAACTCATCATCAGATGTGGCAGTAACAAAACCTTTTATAGACTCTCCTAAAAGAATACCCGACTCCTACTAAAATTTTGTTGGCATCAGGGTGATAGCAGTATGTGATGCTCTATTATCACTTCCACCATTCGTAACTAACCAGTTTTATCCTACAGGCTAAGAAGAAACACGAGAAGAATCATAACTTTAGATTAAGTAAAACTCTTCTGCTTCCCAGATATAAATGTCAAGGAACAAATAGCACGCTCATTCTTCCAAACAATGTTGGTATTTGGAAGTCTTAGTCGTATGTCCAACCCCGATGGTTGTGGTTGTACACAACAGAATAGTTCCATTATGAAATAAGACAACTATCCAAGGCTTTCTGGGTTTCAGCGGTATTCTAAGAACGATCAGTTCGTGATGTAATCTATGGATTCCACTATCCCCATAGACTGACTACTAAATTTTGTGGCGGGTAGTACGTCATTCGAGGTCATTATGTCCAATGTAAAACCGAAGAGTGTGTCGGATATATTTTGTGATGCACATGCTTTGCATGTAGTTGACACAAGCAGAGCCAAAGACGGAGTGTGGTTAGTCAAAGTTCCAAAATATTTGGCTGAACTTTGGCATAATGCTGGCCCTGATGGTGTAGTTGGCAAAGTTGTGATCGCAAGTTCAACTAGTGCATCTCAGAATAGCAATAAAGGCCCAGGGTCTCAAGTCACTCTTGTCACTGATTCAGAACTATTAAATCAAGTCGGAGAGTCCGGAAATCTGATACCAAAGGTAGGTAGTACGTTTTATACAAAACCACACGTTAAGATTGAAAGGTTGTGTGTAATTTACTGTTTCTTCATTGTACTACTAAAAATCTGTTCCAAACAGTCCCTGAAACATCAGTCTTGATTCGTTTGTTCTTCCACATCGTACAATGGACTTCGAATATCATATTTACGTCTAAATTTAAGTTGGATCAACTGAGAGACCACCATTGCCAAAACTAACATAGGCCATCGAGCCTCCTGTCCTTCCCAAACTGAAACTGAATCATCTCATTTTAGTCTAAACAGAAACCGTTCACGCACATTTCTATGCTTGTAGCTCTAGATTTCTTCTGTGGTCGCCTTCATTTCTATTGCAAAACACGTTTAGAACAGCAGTAAAGGTTGTCATTTCAAATTAGTACTTACATCTTTTGTTTTCGTTCAACGACGCTTTTGTAGTTTATCTCATGTCGTGAAAGTCACCTTGTGTCGCGATATCAGCGCGCCTAATGAATATGAAGGAAAAGCATTTTTTATTCGTAAGCCTGCACTCCTTAAATGCCAACTGGTGTTAAGTGGTTGACAACGTCAGGTTTCATGAGTCCAACACATAGCGTATGCGAGCTTTATTAGTATCATCCACTAGTTGCGTCACCATGCACATCTGGAATGTAGTGCGATAATCCGATAAACATGATTGCCCTTCAAATTTGTTTCTCATATCTCCTTGTTGAAGAGATGCATCTAACGTCCGCAGTTCCTCTTCAGATGACAAACAGAACTGTACACTTGAAAGTCCAATGTTAAGTTTCATGGATAATCACATCCATCAGCTTAGACACTAGCTGCATAATGTTTCCACGCTAGTCTGATATTGCTGATAATATGTCCTGCAGAACAGCATGTAGTTTTCTGGATGTTCAACATTAACTTAAATCCCAAATGTGACATACTCAGCCGTTAACCCACTGCCAACACGCTTTGAAATGGACGTTGAGGACGACGTTTCTAATTGCTAAAAACTTGTTTATTAACATTATAAATAAAACACCCTTACTCTTCAATCAGTGGCACTGTAGTGTCTAGTAACCTAAACTATATTTCGAACGTGGCTGTTTCCAACCTGCATTCCAGACACGTCCATATCAACGGAATTATACAAAAACCCTTGTTTCCGTTTCAATGCCTCCACAAAAAATTAGTACGGTAACTAATAACCTCTTAGGCTTCTCTATGTTTAGTATATAGGTGTTTTCGTCCGTCAAAATATTGACATGGTAGCCGGCCATTTTACTGAATAAAACACAAGTCCTTCTCAGTTTGCTTTTTTTGAGGAAACGAATGCTTTGTTATAGCGTAAACACTATGCACCGATTTCTTAATCTACCTCATATAACGAACCCCAAGTCCCATGCTAACGAACGTCATCAGGAAGGTACTTTAACAAATGAGCATTATAAATTAAGAGTTCCGGTCCGCAATACCCTTCATATTATGTGAGAAACTTCATTAACTCATTTCTAACTGAATCCGTTGCCATGATGCACTAACATATATCGTTGATAGTAAACTTTTAAAATCTAATCAAGATGGTAGTGGTAGAAAAATTTTAAGAATTATGGAGCCAAAATAGAGAAGGAACAATGAAAATTATATCCCTTTCCATACGGAAATGAAGTCTAATGTACGACATTTATTTATACCCGTGATTATAGATTTGTCCATGTTTCTAAGTCTGTTATAAAAGAAACCTATCCATAGATTGATTAGTTTTCTCATCACTCCCAAGTACACTATGTGTAGTAGGTCTAGAAAGAATGTTTTAATTCATATTAGCTGGAAGTGTCTAAAAATCAGAAAGTCCTTGATGGTTAATTGGTTGAATCTGTTGACAGGAATTGTCGTCACTTTGCAAATTGTGTTCGCTTGAAAACGTCCATCCTTCGAGGTGACGACCTACAACATACATATCACAGCCTGATTTTCTATTGTGGTTAACTGTGCATCTAACATCTGAATAAACAGGTGCGTCACATATAACGATTACTAGTTTAATAGTTATATGTTTGTTGAACTTAACGCTGTATGCCCCCAGGTCGCCCATTTTTTTTATTTCAAAAATGTTGTCAGCAGATATGGTCTATATTAAGACCGGTCGTTGCCCTTAGGTTTAGTGATGTGTCCATGGTAGATGCTTATGGAGGGAATATTAAGCCGGCCAAATCTTAACAAAATTTCTGTTGACACCATCTCTGAAATAAAAGAAATAAGCGAACTTTCATCATGAAGCTTGAAGTTTCCAGCTACTTCACACTATTTGGCATTTAAGAAGTGCAGGCTTACGAATTAAAAGTTCTTTCCCCTTCATAATCATTAGGTGCACTGACATCGCGACGCAAGAGGACTTTCACGACATGAGATAAACTACAAAAGCGTCGTTGGATGAAAACAAAAGATGTAAGTACTAGTTTGGAATGATAACGGTTCATTGCTGTTTTATAGGTAAAGTGTTCAGTGTTGACGAACATTACCATAAATCCGACCTTTTTGGCAGTTGTTTAAAAAACATGTCAATCAAACACTTAACAATAAAGACGTATTCTTAACAAATAACTCATTAGCTATTACCTGTAACTGTCTTTGGCAGATCATCGTAAAGGACAGCGGAACGTCGCAGTTACAATCAAAGTCCATGACGAACATCTGTCTGTCATTAATCCCTTTAAACGATGATGTTATTTCCTGCCAATGAATATCCTCAACTATGTGTCGTTTTTTAATCCAGTCGACTATGTTTAAACGTTTTTTCGCAATGGGAATTAAGGGGACCACATGGGACATTTAGGGCTACAAGCATAGAATTGTGCGTGAACTCTACCCGAACGGATGTGATAAGGAGAAAATTCGGCGCAAATTTCAATGAAAAGTAGATAATTGGCAGTAATAAAAATATACAGCAATGAAAGGGGAGTGTTGTACTATTTTCATACACGAGTCGAAAAATAAGACTCTTTAGCGCTTTTTACCGCTTACTTTCCTGCTGAATATCCCCTTTGTTTCTCTTTTCAGTTGCTTGGGTCACTCCAAGCCCTTGTCATCAAAAACGTTACAGTGTAATAATCCATGATCTTAATTTAGTGAAAAGTATCTGAGTTACTACAAAACCTTTCTGTACAGTGATCAGTCTTACGGGTTTCTTTGACAGATGTACTTGTGTTCTTAATAATCCCAGGCTTTGTCTGAATAAATATTCCGTCCGGTTTTGATGATTGAGTGACCGATTTTTCAAATAATAAACCAATGCTGTTTTACTTAAGGCAATTGAACTAGTTCTCTCCACTCAAATGATTGTTTCTTCGATCCATTCAGGAACATTTGTGACTAAAACTGTGCCGCGTGCTCTACATGCAGCAGATTTTTGTGTCTCCCAATTTTCAATAGAAAAATCACTTATATCAGTTGTTTTTTTAGTATAAATCACTCCCATTTCTATGGGTCTTGTTTTATGTTGGTCGTATGTAAATTTCTGGTATTACACATTAAGAGGATGATAACCTCTAGGGTCGAAAAATTTCTTCTAGAAACAGCTTCGTAACACTAGAAAAAGCTAATCTACTTTCAAAATCCAATTCATGCCAAAGTTAACCGGGACCATACCTAACTTCACCTATAGTTCTCAACAGTGGAAAACAGTTTCACATCAGAATTGTTTTGTGCGAGACTGATTTGTTAAAAGCAAGTAGACGGACTATTTTCACTCGCAGGTTCTTAATAAGTAATTAACATTGAATCCACAGGCCACTTAATTTGCAGATGGAGCAACACGTTAATCGGTTTCAGCAATTTTAGATTCCCCCGATTTTAGGGGTTCCTAGTTATCTATATCATTACAGAAATCTCCTTGCTAGAAAAAAAACGTTTGACCTTACTGGGAATATTGTTATCATAATTGGTAAAGTTCGATAATATCTTGTCTCTATAAGAAGTACTGAATAAGAATTCTATGGTTGATAATATTGAGAAAAGTATCTCTAACCAAACTTCTGACCTTTTATGTGTAAGTCTCCACATTTTATCTGGGTGATGCGTTTACATACTTTTGTATTCACTTTATTTTATCTTGACATCATCACATTGTAACTATTACTTACACCAACCAAGTAAATCTATGTTCAATTAGTGAATGAAGTCTTATTTATACTTTCAGGAACATCAGTTTCTGATTCAAACTTCTGCATCATCAAATAGTACACCTGGGACTGCTCGCCCAGGTCAAACTACTCCAAGTTCGACAGTTCAAAGGCGTCCTGGGACTATATCTGGACAAGAACTCATAATTTTATGTGAAGACGACCTTGGATGTGCTCAAACCAACTCGTTTCCATCTTCGACGACCAACACAACTTTAATTTCCTCTGCAGCCCCACATTCTCCATTCTCAAATAAACCGTACGCTCGTTACTCTCGGCGACTATCTTTGTTTGGTCGTGTTAATAGTAGAGCTGAATGCAGACCACCACCCAATACAAGATATATGATGCTCAAAGCTCAACAGGTAAAAATCTTTGATTTTATCTAGAGGCTTATGTAGGTTCATAGAATATTTCCTAATCTTGAATGTCCTATTTTGTACCCATCCTAGTTCTAGAAATACTCAACCCTCACTCTTGTCCTAGTTTTATATTTCTTTTATTTCCTCAAGCTCAAAGCAAAGAATCGACCGCGACATGAAGTCTGTCTTCTTTATGAACCAGTAAGAAATTACAAACCAGTTTCCAATCATGTCAACAATGTAAGTATATTTTCTTTATTTCATTCATGTTACCGTCCATTTTCTTTGCAACTTACTATTCATTGTTGAAACAAAGTATTATTATGGTATAGTGATAATATATATATTGAACTCGAATATTATCTCAACCTAACATAGATATAACAACGGTAGTTTTGCAATGTCAGTGTTACGTTTTCCTTCCATTATTCTCGTAAACAGGTAGTGTAATTTAACCGACACTTAGCAAAATTTTAAGATTCATAACCGCTGACTTAATTTCTCACTGGTATCCATAATAACTTACAAATTTGTTGATTTCATGTTTAAATTCCATCCGCTACTTGATTTATACTATGGTGCTTCCAATTTCGACTTAGGACTGATACGCATAGCTCGTGAAATATATCCACTTCAGTTTATGTGACGACTAGAAACAAGACTGATTCGTGGGGGTTGTGACTTGGCCTAAATGCTAATGGCTGCTGCTGGTATGACTGGTTAATGAGTGTCACCTCACTATTTCAAGTAATAAGTTGATAAACCATAGATAACAGCTTGCTTTATGTGACAAATCCACTTTTACCCTGATTAATCAAAGGAACAGTCTTTTTAGACTTGTCTACTCTGTTATAGATTGCTGACCTTATACTCTCTATACTTTTATCCACCTGAAATCTCACTGGAAACTTTACATTATTAACCACCGTCTATAATATCAACAAATTTGTTTGCGTTTGTACATTAATGTATTTTAATCACTGCTAAGTTTCCACTGACTGCTTTGCATTAAAATCATTAAATATTTGTTTTCTAGATCGAGTATGAAAATCGGAAAAAGGTTGAGGGTAAAAATCTTAGACGTGAAAAAGAAGACGTTTTGCAGGATTTGTTCAAAGCTTTCGAAAGACACCAATATTACTCTATTAAAGATTTGGTTGTACTTACTAAGCAACCATTGGTAAGCATCTACATAATTTGCTCTCTTTATCTTTGTTAGTTTCAGTTAGTTTTAATCATAATCCTGATCAAATTCGAAATACGTTGATACCGTAGAATCTACGAACACGTATCAAATTCGATGATTGGTCGTATATGTCTCATTGTCGTTTACGTATAACTAGTCAAAATCCTCAGTAATTATTAGTTAAAACTGTGTTTATTATATCCATTATTTTTAGATGTTAGATTAATTCTGTCAATTTATTGTATATATAATCACTGATATGTTTTTCACCCTTAACCTTCTTTTGTTTATCTTGCGTTTACAAGCAAAAGCACCATCATAAAAATGAATTTCTGTCTATAACCATGGCGGGATTCAAGAAAGGAAAACAAGAAAACAGCAATTAACAGCAGCCGGACATCAATAGAGGAAGTCAAGGCATAATCTGGACACACCAAAGCAAACAAGCAAGTGAAAAGAAGAATTAGAGCTGACAAACGGAAATACGCAGAAGACCTGGCAGCGACAGCGAAAGAAGTTGCTAAGGAAGAGAATATGAGACAACCATATGACAAAACGAAGAAACGAGCAGGGAAATATAGTTAAACAGAGCAACCAGTCAAGGACAAAGAATGCAAACCAATCACTGAGGTTCAAAAACAGAAGGAAAGTTGGTAGAGCACTTTGAAGAACTCTTGAATAGTCCAGCCCCACTGAACCCACCGGACATCGAAGCATTACACACAAACCTTCCTATAGCTGTCACTAACAACGATCAAAGAAATTAGGAATGAGAAAGCAGCAGGACCTGACAACATACTAGTCGAAGCAGTGAAGTCTAATCAGGCGGCGTGTTTGAATATCTGGGCCTACCTGTCTCTGCCATCAAGATATTTCAACAGGTTATCTGTTTTCTTGTTTTTCTTAACACATCATTATGCCCATTAGTCTCATAACCGATTCAGGTGTGTTTGTGAAACGTTTACTACATTTCGCTGTACAACTTACGAAAGAGCCTAATCAGAGACATCGTGGTTGCTGGCAATATGCTTCGAAGAGAATATACATGATTCAGATGTCGATTCCTGTTAACATCTAACTGGCGACCACTCAATATTTATCGCAAGGATCGGTCAAGAAATAAGAAAAGGAAACTTGTTGAAATACTGCGCTGAGAATTCTATACTGTACCAAAATGTAATATTGAATAAACGTTTCTAACAATGTATCGATAAACCGACTGAAGGATTCAGTAGACATCCAGCTTCGAGACCAACAGGCCGGATTCCGTAAGGGTCGGTTACGCACAGACCAAATCGCAACACCAGAGGTCATCGTTAAACAACCAGTTAAATAGAACTCGTCACTGTGCATCAACTTTCTTGACTTGAGTGCTGTTAAAAGTATGAGGGTGGTTATCACTTCCGGTTGCCCACACCGTGGAAGGGTTCTTCTGGAGGTACCTGAAAACGAAATCGGATTAGAAGTGGTCTTAGTGACCTGGGAGCGTGACCGTAGTGCCCAAGGGACAACTGCTTGAAGTCGGTCACACACGACCTTTTTATGGGTAATTTTCGTGTTAGCTCCGTACTTGTTGGGACCTTACCGCCGGAGACGGATATCCGTGGGATAAGGCGAAGTGTGCATTTTTGAGGTCGATCTTTTCTAACCCCACCCCTCCTTGTGGGAAGGCAGCATCGCCGTCATGTTGGTTGTCTGAAGGAAACACCTTACTGCTATCACACCTCTGTACAGTCAGCAGTACGACTTCGCCTTCGGACCTTAGGTTTGTTGCTTTTAGTCTTACCGCTCTTCAACCGACCTTTCTAACGTGGTAGGACCTTGAGTAACGGTTGTTCCAGTCAGTATAGCTCGGTTGCTTCATCACGATAGGCAAGCCCGACCACCACGCCAAGGTAGCACCAACGGTCGGTGTCCATCTTGTTGTGTTAATGAGGTATGGCAACTTGGACCGATGCATATATGTGCCTGGTCCTACGTTGTAGCTGACTGACTGACTTCCTTGACTGTGAGAAGGAGTTCGACAGTATGGATAGGAGAAACTTATGGAACCTTCTTGACACAGGTGTAACTGAGAAGATCGTCATAAATCATCTGAAATTCATTCTCTTTCTTCTGGTGGTTGACTGAACTATAAAGATCACATCTGAGGGTAAGCATGGAATATAATGAACAGCTTGCATGAAACTAGACGATTTGGACTTCTCGGATGACCTAGCCCTTCTATTCCATACACTCCAACAGATGCAGGTCAAGGCAACCAATGTAGCATATGCCTCTGCATCAGTAAATCTCAACATACACAAGGGAAGAAGCAAGATTAACGTTTGATCCACATCTGATTGACGCAATGAAAATTGAAACATAAAGTAAGACTAACTTCACAACATAACGCCTTTGAAGTAGATGCAAGGTATTTAGTTTGTTTTGAAATCTAGACCTGTCGTTCATGTATCCTCACGTTAGCAAATATTAATCTGAAAATATTCACGTAACCAATTAATTCGTTTCGTTAGTTTTCTATAAACTAAAATATTTAATTTCAGTTTTTCATGTGTATGATATATCCTTTTTTTATTTTCAGGCCTATCTTACAGAGATACTAAAGGAAATTGCTATCTTCAACACTCACATTCCACACAAAAATATGTGGGAGCTGAAACCTGAATACAGACATTACACACAGCCTGAGGCTAAGACTGAATCTAACGTGGAATAAACCATATAAACGTACACCAATTTGTAAATTAATAAAAGCGTTCTTTCGTGTAATTGTTTTCACCTCAACTCATTATTTAATTTGCATAACTCCCAAGTTTCAAGCATAATTGCTTCCACTGTTTAAATAATGCTTTAACTAACTGTTTATATTCATCTACCTTCAAAATTTGATTTGAAAAGTTCTCGATTGCTTTATATTTAAATCTGCCACCACAAAATGTTGAGAATGTGTATAAACTAACTTTCAAATAGCAGGTCGGGTTTATTTCTTACTTCAATAACGCCCTCATTAACCACTAGGCGATACAACCCAAAGAAGTATTGCAACCAAATTTTCTATGAACTCAAAGCAAGAGTGCTCTCCGTTTGTTGGACAAAACTGTGTTCCGTGAACATATCTTAGAAAAATGTTTTATCGTTTTCAATGCATTATACAAAGCATCCAATAAAAAGCATGAAACCACCAAAGCGTTGCTGACAACCAGGGGTTAAATGAGTGTTCTTGTCCATCATCACCAGCCTTCCCTTAGCATTACACTCGATGACGCTCTAGAAGCAGTTTTTGGAAGTATTGTGGCACTGTGGGTCCACAGAACCTAGAAATGCCATAATCTGTGTTAGTGTATACCATAATACAACGTATAAGATTGTCACATACACAATCAGACGCTGATCAGGATTATTGTGGCATCTGCTTCGAACCAAATTGTGAAGTACATCTACCATAAAGATAAAACTCTGCTATAATTTAGCATCAGTGAACCATTGGGAATATGGTAAAAGAAGTTATAGGATTGCTTTGATGATGAAGTTCATCTTTTTAGCAAACTACAGAACATACACCGCCTTCGGCTACCTTTAGTACCGATACGAAGTTAGTTTCTCTGAAAGGTTAAGTAAATACATCTTATGTATAGCTTTTTAGCAGCTGCTATACCGAACAATGGTGGTAGTCCGAGTGAGATTATAACTAATTAACAAACCAATCGAATTTAAGATAGCGAGTTGTGGACATTGGCGCGGAATCCATCCATATTTATTTGGCCAAATAGCATTTTGGCACCATTACTGGTGTCAGTCCATTATGTAAACCGTAACCCTATTACTGAACCTTACTCCCAACTCTAAATCGCGATTCAGATTTTGCACTCATTTATAACCCTCTCTTACCTTGGTAATCTTGCAAAGGTTACTTGGGCATCGCTCGAAGGTTGTTCATGAATAACAATCTCGCCATACTGAATACCGGCACAGTCAATCCCTTGAGTTCACCCGTAGGTCTCAAACGTTTCAATGACTCCAAATGGCAGATTGTTCGAAGCCGGAGTTAACAGCGGTCTTACCGCAGTCGCTCTGTGTATTTTACGTAAGCTGTACGACTTGATAGCTGATGATATTAGTGGAGTTAGTGTTGGCTGTTTTCACATCTTGTCTATATCCTTTAAAGGCTTTTCGCCGTACAACTGTGTTATATTTTCATGAAAATATCTTGTTTTCTATACACATTTACTGGTCCCTGATTGTATTAAGTATTTCTTTACATTTAAAAGCGTTTTTCTGTGAAAAATCTTTATTTTTGGTAATTACAATTTATCGTTTGTTGGGTAAAGGAGATCTTGTACAGTTACAATAGTTATGATTAGTAGCATTTTTCTGTAAAAATGCTCAATACATAGTGATTTCATTGGAGTATAGCCTGTACCTTAACGTGCTGGCACAGTTCACTCGAGTAATTTATAGGAAAATCGGATAGATGCATAACTTTAACAGAATAAAGAAGGCGTAACATAAGGTGTCCCAATTTGATGTGTTTATCTTTAATGAGAAAAACAATTTTCCAGCTTTAGGTTTCATTTTTGAACAAATCATAAATAAGAAAAAACAATATCACATTTTGATTCCTGATGTATTTTGTCGCATAAATTATGCACTGGTTACTGAATATTTCTCATTCATGTATTGCACTTTACCGGGAATTCCGGTTTATTCGATTACCTAGAAGTGTGTGTACATAAACGCAGCAAAGTTGTAATGCAATAAGTAGGTAAGCCAATGGTTTTCTCGCACATAGCGATAAAATAAAAATGATATATATTGTTGATTGTCATCTGCAGTCATTTTTGGCGCTTTACAATTTGAAATGAGTAGGTAATGAGCAAATATTAGCGCCTCCCAAGGCGAACTGATGCTCCGAACGAACTCCGAGAACTCCCAGCACTAAGTGGATTCCCATGGTTGTCTAGAAGACCAGTTGCGGTAGCTGGTCGTGCAGGTGGTATTGAAGTGCTCAAAAGGCTTCCTGTCGTTGTGGTATTGGTGGAGGATTGATCTAAATCTTGATCGTCTGTTTCCTGCTGCGAGTTGCTAGTAGTCCCGGGAACAGAGTAACTGACTAACGCACCACTAGCTGAACCTGAAACACAATTCGCCTTCCGCATGGCAATTTCCAAAAGTTCTGCATCACTTAAATTTCGGCTTGCGACTGAAAGTAGTGAGAGCATTTCCTCATGAATACGTGATTCTGGGAATTCTACCTGGATAAATGTATAAAAACGAAAGCATCTGTGTAAATAAAAGCAAACTATACATGAATATAATTAAGATATACTACTTATTACGAAAAGTTAATAAATATGAAGTAAGAGATGGTTATTTAATAAACAGGTGTTAAAGTCTGTGGAATTCGGTATTTCTGACTGATTAGAGAAGTCCCGCCAAGTATAAATTACATATGCCAATTTCAACAACTAGTTCCTCTCACACCCTTTAAAGACGCTACATTTTTATGTTAAAATTCGTGCCAAAATCACTAGCGTTTGTGAAGCGCAGATTACGGAACTTGCTGTACTAATAATCTGATATATATAATGAACTAAATAGATTGACCTTTCCATCGTATTTACTGAAATAATTTTGTAAGTAAAGGACTGCTCAGTATTAAAGAATTTTCATTATGGATGCACAGGAACGATTTATTACCGCCAAGTTTGTATTTTATCAGCAATATTTAATAAAATACCAACTGCCTTGAGGTCAGTCAGCTACAACGTACGACCAGGCACATATGTGCATCGGTCCAAGTTGCCATACCTCATGGTGGTAATATATAAAAGAAAGATTGCATATAAGGATATAATGCACAGAGGAAAGAATTAGTTCGTAGAATAAAAGATATGAAGCAATTTTAATCTCTTAGTTTAAGGGAAGATAGAGAGTGTATACACCGACGCCATTGTGATCGATTCTGAGCCATGTCACCAAGAGTCTCCAACCATTGGTTACGAAAGTCACGCGGACCCCAACCAAGTAGTCTGCATCTACCAACATGACACAGACCAGAAGTTAGTGTCTTCAAGCACTGATGCCACGTTTTGGTTTGGCCGCCCTTACTTTCTTCCAACCATCCCTAACACCCGTTAGCATTGCACGACGTGGTAATCGGTGTTCAGGCATACGTAACACGTGACCCAACCATCTCAGTCGATGAAGATTTACAACCTCATCAACGATCGTTCCCTAATACCCTGCGTCTAACCTCCCTATTACTTACCCGGTGATCCCAGCAGACGCCAGCAATATTTCTGTGGTCAAATACTAGTAGCTTACGAGTATCTCCTACTCTTATTGGCCACGTTTCGCAGCCGTAAAGTAAGACAGAACGAACTGCCACTCAGTATACTCTTCCTTTTATTGAATGACGGATATCTCGCCTTCACCATAGGTGACGTAAGGTGGCAGAAGCCAAACGAGATTCCCGAGTTCGTGCTGAAATTTCGTCAGACACCAACCCATTTGGGCTGATCAGACTTCCAAGATAAATGGAGTTATCAAGGCGTTCGACTACTTCACTCCCTATCCATAGTTCAGGTGTTGACGCAGGCCAGTCCTGAAGCAACAGTTTGCATTTAGAAGGGGAAAAACGCATCCCAAACATTCTGGCATTGCTGATCAGTGTTACCAAAAGACTCTGCACTTTACTAGCATCTTTACCAAATAGGAATATATCATCTGCATATTCTAAGTCGATAAGTGGACCTCCTGGTAGGAGATTAATACCCGAAAATTCAGTTGACAAGAACGTTGTTTTCATCAGTAGGTCTATGATGAAGTTAAACAAAAATGGAGAAAGTGGACAGTCTTGACGGACACCACTTGGGGTTGCAAAAGCAGATGACAGTTCTCCATAAGCTGTGACTCGACTGGTAGTGTTCGAGTTAAAACCCTTCACAAGGTTTATGTACTTCGAGGTACGCCTTTCAATGACAGATACTGCCACAGAATTTCGCGATCAACAGAGTCAAATGCTGCTTTTAAGTAAAGAAAGACCATCATTATCGGACGCCGATAAGCATGCCTCTGTTCTAGAACCTGACGAATGGTGAGTATGTAGTCTATGCAGCCACGACCAGATCTGAAGCCAGCAGTTCACGAGTCTTAGTCAAGCGGCCGATAATCATTGAGGCTAGTGTTTTAGGTGCTATGTTAGTCAAACTAATCCCTCTATGGTTGTCACAGGGTGATTTTGACCCTCTCTTGCATATTGGGACGATAAGTGATTGTGACCAGTTGCCTGGAGGTAAAGGTTAACGGTTGGCCAAACTAAAGTAGGTGGTCTGTACCCACACTATTAAGATAATGAATCATGGCCCCAGGTAAAACAGAAACTGAAGTGCATTTGAAAACTAACTGAAATATGTACATAAGTGAGAGACTAAGAAGGGGAGTTGAAATGTTTAAGTCTTTAAGGGTAGAAACCAAAGAGCATGAGCGCTAGTTGGAGTTTCACGCAAAATTGCAAATCTGTTAAGCACAATGTGTGTGCTTAGCAGCAGTGAGAATGCACTACAACAAACTAATATTTCAACATTTAAAATGAATATATCATTAAAAGTTGGGGAACGCTGAAAGACGAAGAGTGTAGATACACAAAACACAAATGTAACAAAAATAAAGAGTCAATAAATACGATGGAAAGGATCAACCCAAAATCATCTGTTAAGTTTGTTCATTTATGGAGAGAATAAAGCAATGTAAAATACTTTCAAATATGAAAACCATGGTTTTTAGTTCGAACCACTATACGTAAAAGGGAAGTTTGAACCCTGTCGGTAAATAATATACATATTTTATTCGAACTTAAGGAATGCACATAAGGCACTACATTAACAAATAACTTTAAGTTCATCCAACAGTTGTCTCTGTAAGTTTTGACGATATTCCTAGACCATCCAAAGTATTGTATATCAAGAATGATTTTAACTCATAACAGAAAATTTGCAGGTCAGTTGCCTGAATCATAATCTACTGATAACTCAAGATGCATAGGGTCCCATACACACTATTAGTGCCAAAATTTCACAAATAAGTAGTAAGATTTACCTTTATAAGACGCTTTTCTGATGAGTAATGAATAGCTATACAGTCTATACTTTTCAAACGATGACCCCGACAGTAATAGCTCCATTCACAGATCTCATTCTGCTCACTTTTATCACGAACATCCTTCACGAATAACACAGTAGCAGGAAACATAAGAGCATATTTCTCCAGACATTCAATATTGCGCAAGAGATTGTCGTGTGAATTACTGTATATGGTAGTGAGAGAAATAAATTTAAAATCATTAAAGTAGATATTAACATCCATTGGCAAAGGAAATGTGTAACCAAATACGCTTCTTTATGAAGCCTGAAATATATGGTGTACAATTAAAATTGTAGAGCATGGTTAGCAAGAAGTGCGTTAGGAAGAGTAATAAATCATTACATCCAAAATAATCCATTGTGAGGATAGAAACATCTTAAGTTGAATTCGTAATAACTAAGTGAACTATCTAAACAGATTTGGAACAAGCCCCAGTTGTTTGATAGCCAACTTGAAGATTTTATTGGCTACCTTATGAATTACGCACTAAATTTGTTGCTCCAGAAAAATCAGACTAATTTAAATATGATAGTCCTTTGCTTGTATACCGGTGTCCGCACTCACTTTGTCGGGTTGGGGCATACTTTGTTATTCTCTGTAAAGATAAAAATTATCATCTATCCGGTTCCTAAGCTAAAAACAGACTTACATGAAATTACCACGTTTCTCTATTACTACACTAATCATATAAAAATACATTATAGTGTACATTAAGATAACAATTATAAAAATGATATTCGTTAATATAAAACAGCAGTTTATTTAATTTCTACAGGTAACTGGTGCTGGATATAACGAAAACTGTCAGTAGACAAGTGTAAGGTTACTAATAACAAGTACTAACGAAATCACCGCGCAAAACCTTTGTATTAGGACTTACCTTGTGTATGAAAATACGTTATTATACCGGTTCATTGTAAGTTTAACAACAGGCTAGAAAGAACGAAAAAAAGAAATACTAATCTGGGAATTAGCAAATAGCATACATTTTTATTTTGTCGAAAAACTATAAGTAGGGTAATCATTTGCTTATAAACAGACAAAGGTTTTGCCGTAATAGTTTCTTATATCATATTATTAAGCAAATACTTTAGTTTTAAATATATACTATATTTTAGCAAAGTTTTAGCAGTTACAATAATTCAGTATCAGTATATGAATAAGGACACAGGTTTTTATTAGCTCGTACATTAAAACACCTCCCCAGAAATATTCAAGGTTAAATAAATCATGTGCCATCACTGGAAGTTTTGTTATCTGAGCTAGGTAGTTTGGTCGTGAAGTCTTCATTGTTTTTCTGAACAACATCGGCATCAAAAACTTCATGTAAAGGTGGAGAATCTGCATTTCTCCACATATGGCTCTCAACTTGTCCTGCCAACCTCGATCTTGATTAATTATTGTTGACCCTTAACCCATCATTATCTGTCTCTTTATCTTGATTGTATCTCCCTTTGATCTGATTCTTGGTCCTATATTTGTCCATGATTTTTCTGATTGGTTGATAGGTTGGATCGATTCCGATGTGTTTGTTGATTGCTGACTTATCTAAGTGCCAAGCTTCTGAAAATTCCCTGGTATTTTTAGTATTCTATCTATCCAAGATTGCAACATTTTTCCAGTCAAATATGTGTCTACACGTATTGATATAAGCGAAGATATATCATGGGGTTCGGCAGGACAAAGTTAGACATGTGGAGAAATGCGAATACTCCACTTCTGCTGATGCTGTTCAGAAGAATAATGAAAGCACGACAACCAAACCATCCAGCTCAGGAAACGAAACTTAACCACGATCATCCACCTGAGCTACAAATCTCCACCATTTCAAAACCATATGATTGTGTGAAATTAAGAGATAAAAATGAATAACGAGATCGATAACTTAGAGCTCGAGATTTTTGGGACGTAGATGGAAAGCTAGCATCAATACAATTAGCTGAATAGACTTTGCAGAAGATATTATTCTATAGCTCTATTAGGAAAGCGAGTGGAATCTAGGAAATTTCACACACGTGAGATACTATGACACACTAACACTGTCTGACTGAATCATTCTATAAATAGATTTTAAAATATAGAACGCTCCTAGGTTAGAACTTGATTTCTAAAAAGGATTGTACACCTTATCATCCTTTAACCATAGTGATGAAATTTAAGTCAACCAGAGTCTGTGAGCAAACGAGTAATCCAGGAAAAGCTAAAATTCATTACCGTCATCAGCGACTAAGTTGAATACAAACATTTAACGAATCATTCCGGAATGCCTATGAATGTCGTCAGGTCGTATCAGTACCAAATAGTGCATTTGAATAACCACGTACATGATCATAAGCTAGACTGAGTTATATCTGTTCCAGAAGAGAGTACTTAAGTCCTAAAACATCCCTAGATGAATCTTGAGATCATTCTTCTTATAAAACTGTAAGTCCTCGAGTACAATGCCCTTAGTATCATGATATCTAGACTAGAAGCTTCAAGACTATGCATTGTCACAATACCAGAAAATATGATGAAAAGAGGTGTGTAGGTTAATTAATATGTTGCGTCTTCAACAAACAAGTGAAGACAGAACCGATACATTCCCGACTACCAGTTTTGAAATAAATAACCCTTCGTTTGTCGGCAAAACAATTACTATTTGAACAAATAATAAACAGTAAAGGATGTATGGCATAAATCCCCGTAAACCAGTTCGAGTTTAAAGTGAATTTCATAGCATGTTAATAATACTGCCGTTCATACGCATAGAACAGCAACATATTTAAAGGAGTTATCTGAATAACCTATACTTACCTTATGGGTAGTAGAAAGCAAAGATTTTGCTGCATTAGGACATTTGACGATAATAATGGTTGCACGATTTTGAAGGTCTTCGTAATTTGTCAAACGACCAAGCGCCTCTTCACATGCTAAACATAAACCTTTAACGCAGAAATATTTGGCTTCCATAGCTAGTTCTTCTAACTCTTTCCTATTTTCTGGCAGAGGGGCTGAACCATCTCGAATATAGTTCAAGATCGTCCCAAAATGTTTGCCACTACGGTCAATAAGTACCCAGCCTAAAAATAAGAACCGATACCCTCTGGTTATAAGAAAGATTAATATTCACAAATGCTACATTTAACTACCAAAATGTTCGGAAGCGCAATGTGGGTAGGAAATGCACTGGCAACAAACAATAAGGCTTAAATAAAGGTTGAATATATGTAATCTCGCGACTAATTATCCTATCTGATGTCATATTTGCAAGTTTCTAGTCTTCATAAATATTTGTCTGTCTTTTAATATTGACTGGTTTCTGTAAACCAAGCTTTTGTGTGTCACTGAATAATAAACGTTAACTCAACATAAGATACCGATGCCAAGGCTGAACTTGACCGAAGCTGCTACCTTGACGCGGTGGTCGGGCTTGCCTATCGTGATGATCCAACCGAGCCATATTGGCTGGAACATATGTTCCTGTAGGTTCTACCATGTCAGGCAGGTCGATTGGAGAACGGTAAGACTAAAAGCAACAACTCAAGGTCTGGGGGCGAAGTCGTACTGCTGACTGTAGAGAGGTGTGACAGCAGTAAGGTGTTTCCCTCGGACAACCAGCATCTGCAGCGATGCTGCCTTCCCACAAGGAGGGGTGGGGTTAGAAAAGGTCAACCCTAAGAATGTCACACCTCACGGATTTCCGTCTCCGGCGGTAAGGCCCTTTGAAGAACGGAGCTAACACGTTAGAAACCTTCCACGAAAAGGCCGTGCGCGACCGGCCTCAAGCAGTTGTCCCTTGGGCTCTGCGGTCACGCTCCCAGGTCGTCAAGACCAACACTAATCCAATTTTCTTTTCAGGTTCCTCAAGAAATACCCTTCCACGGTGTGGGCAGCCGGGAAGTGACATCAGCCCTCATACCCGTAACAGCACAAGAGACCAAGTCGGTCACATTCAAATCCTTCCTACACCTCCTAATACCTCTCTTATCTCCATGACTAACCCTCCTCACGTCTCTTTATCACCTCGCACCGCTAGGGCAAACGATTCGAGTACGTGGAACGCCATTCCTGGTCTCCTGAAACCACGCTCTAAACTACACGTAGGAGCTTTTAACGTCCGAACACTGTGCCAAATAGGACAGCAGGCTTCCTTAGCTAGGACTTTAGAATCTCGCGCCATCGATGTGTGCTGCGTCTCCGAAACGCGCATACAGGATCCGAGTAGCGTCATTCATTTGACCTCACCATGCCAAAATAAAGAACCGACTCGATTCACACTTCGTGTATCTGGAAGCCCTGATTCTGCTTCCCGTGGCCTCGCCGGCGTAGGTATAGCATTGAGTCCTAGGGCAGAACTAGCTCTCTTAGAGTGGATCCCAGTAGACAGTCGTTTGTGCGCTGTCCGACTGAACGGAACAGTAAGAATCCGGAAAGATAGGGACACTCGTCGTTGCCTCTTCGTCGTCTCTGCCTATTCTCCCACTGACTGCAGCTCAGATGATGTAAAAGATGAGTTTTACAGAAAGCTTTCGGACCTTCTCCGAAAAGCTAGGCGCTCGGATGTAGTAATAGTGGCCGGTGACTTTAATGCTCAAGTAGGTAAACTAAGCGATAGGGAAAGACACCTAGGTGGATCTTATGGTGTCGTGGCTCAAAGAACAGATAATGGCGACCGTCTGTTGCAGCTATGCTCAGATAACCGCCTGTTCCTTGCAAATACTAACTTTAAGCATAAGGAAAAACATCTTTTAACATGGCGACCCCCTAATTCGTCCCAACGTTGGACCCAAATAGATCACATCGCTATCAGCCACCGATGGAGGGGCTCGATAGAAGACTGTCGCTCATTCTGGAGCACATGCCTAGATTCAGATCATGCTCTAGTGCGAGCGCGTATTTGCTTGCGTCTTACTGGACGTAGGAAAGACGCTGCAAGGAAACCTCTTAGGGCCCTACTTAATGATAGTCAAGCTAAGAGTATATTTCAGGAACAACTAGGAAAACAGTTAGGCAGCCATGTATGTGATGCCCACCCCGATGCAGCATGGAATGATATCCGAAAAGCTGTGGAAACAGCAGTGATATCTGCTAGTAAGGTAAACCAGAAGGTTAGGGAGCAACACTGGATCTCAGCAGCATCTATCGCACTGATAGATGCTCGGAAACTCATTCCACCTGGCTCTGAACATAATGAAGAGCGGAGTCAGCTTAAGCGCAAGCTGACAAGAAGTCTACGCAATGATCGCGAACAGTGGTGGGTAGCGAAAGCAAGAGAGATGGAAAAGGCAGCGGCAATAGGTAATAGCAGACAATTGTTCAGACTCGTTAAGGAAACCGGACTGTTAGCGAAACAATCTCAGAGAAAGATGGACATATTATACATTCTCAATCCAGGAGATTGGATCGATGGGCAGAACACTTTAGGGATCAGTTCAACTGGCCTTCAGCCACACTTCGGTTTCCCACGATCTCCAGTCAACCTGAATGGCAAGTTAATGTAGGTCCTCCGTCTCTTTACGAAGTTGAAAAAGCCATAGGAAATCTGAAACGAGGGAGAGCAGCAGGCCCTGACAGGTTTACTCCTGAGATTTTTAAGGATGGTGGTCCAGTATTAGCAATGAGATTAACTGAGGTCTTAGGTAGAATTTGGGAACTGGACGTAATCCCATCTGACTGGTCTCAATCACTGATTGTGCCAGTCTATAAGAAAGGACAAAAGTCCTCTTGTGACAATCACAGAGGAATCAGTTTGACTAATATAGTGTCTAAAATATTAGCTTCAATAATACTTCGACGCCTAACTAAAGCTCGTGAAGAGCAGACTAGAGAAAACCAGGCTGGTTTTCGACCTGGACGTGGTTGTATAGATCAGATATTCACACTACGTCAGGTTCTAGAACACAGACACACATTCAGACGCCCCACAATGGTAGTATTTCTCGACCTTAAGGCGGCATTCGACTCTGTTGATCGTGAGGTTCTATGGCAGTGTTTGTCACTGAAAGGAGTACCAAAGAAGTACATTAACCTTATAAAGGCTCTCTACTCGAACACAACTGGTAGAGTGAGAGCTTATGGCGAACTGTCATCAGAATTGATTACCTCAAGTGGTGTTCGTCAGGGCTGTCCACTCTCCCCATTCTTGTTCAACTTTGTGGTCGACGTACTTTTAGAGATAACACTCTCCTCATCTAAATTTCCAGGGGTTGAACTTCTACCGGGAGGTTCACTTGTTGACTTAGAATATGCTGATGACATAGTTTTATTTGGTGAAGACGCTGACAAAATGCAGAGTCTTCTGACCACTCTAAGCAACAATGCAAGCATGTTCGGGATGCGATTCTCCCCTTCGAAATGCAAAATGTTGCTTCAGGATTGGGTTACATCGACACCCGAACTAGTGATAGGGAGTGAAGTAGTTGAGTGTGTCGACCGCTTCACTTATCTTGGAAGTCTCATCAGCCCTTGTGGTCTGGTGTGTGACGAAATCTCAGCACGGATACAGAAGGCTCGACTAGCTTTTGCCAACTTGCGTCATTTATGGCGTAGGCGAGATATCCGTCTATCAACCAAAGGACGGGTTTACTGCGCAGCAGTTCGTTCCGTCCTACTTTATGGCAGTGAAACATGGCCGGTAAGAGTAGAGGATATTCGTAGGTTACTAGTATTTGATCATAGGTGTCTTCGAAACATTGCTCGTATATCATGGGACCATCGAGTAAGTAACACAGTTGTTAGGAAACGGGTACTAGGTAAGGATGGCAAATCAATTGATGAAGTAGTGAAACTTCATCAGTTGAGATGGCTGGGACACGTGTTACGTATGCCCAACGACCGACTGCCTCGACGTGCATGTTCAGTGTATAGGAGTAGGTTGGAAGAAAGCTAGGGGCGGCCAAACCAAAACATGGCACAAGTCCATGAAGTCACTGACAAGTAGACTGAGTCATGTTGGTAGGTGTAGACTACCTGGTTGGGGACCGCGAGATGATAGCAACCGATGGTTAGAGACCCTGAATGACATGGCTCAAAATCGTTTGCAATGGCGCAGGTGCATCCACTCTTTGTGTTCTCCCAAATTCTAATCTTCTGAATTCTTCATGTCCCTTTTTTTCTCTTTCCAAATTTATTTCACTGGATTATACTCCTTGAATAACATCTTCAAACCCTAATTTTTCTGATTACAGCTTGTAATTTTACTACATCTACCACTACGGGATTTGAATCGACCACTGTATCTGTGTGCTAACGTGGTGTGGTAACTCGAACTGATCTACGTACGTACGAAGTTCTATGTTGTTACTGACTGACTGTTTAAAATAAATTGAGCATTGGGCAGGAAATTAATAACAATTAAATGTCACGATATTCCAATGAGTAGAAATTTGTTCTTCTGACATTTTGTGACCTAATTCAAGTCACTTATTAAGAGTAAATAAATAAATAACCGAGATAAATTCATACAAGTTTGAATAGTACAAAAGAAATAAAGCAGAATATTTTTAATACAGTTAACATCATAACAGCCCTTACCATATCAATGTCATGTTATTTCTGGTCAAGGTGACTCTGTATGAGACGTCACTGTATTTATGATGCTGGGTATAGAAAGTGCATAATTTGTAGTATGAAGTAGTGAAGTTAAAATGTTGAGTGTATAGAAACATGGTTGTTCGGGAAAAAAGTACAAGTTGGATGAATAGTTAGGCCTTCTTTCCTGTTGAGGGCAGAAAAATTAAGCCTCTCACCTGAATCACTTCGATATTTTCAATATCGATTTGGTGGTTATTGAAAATACTATGTATCGCCATTAGTGATTTGATTTGTGAATTATCCACCTCTATAGGATTATTAGGTCTTTTAGTGTAGCTCAAGTGTTCTTTAGCACGAGTCAAGATTTCACAAGAAAGCTCCAATGAAGAGAACATCGCAATTGACAGAGCCTAACCTGTAGACACAATTTTGTGTGGAAGTAAAGGGGATCTTATCTTCAATTCTAAATAAAACGTTTTGTTGTGTTTGTTGCTTTATACAACATTAAAGCTATTTATGTAACGACAGACCGATGACATTAACAGGTTCTTTTCGAGTTGGAAATATTGCCATACTTTAAGAAAAATTAGTTGGCTACTCAATAGAAATACTTTTAAAACTTTTTTAGTTTGATTGTGAAGTGTTTTCTGAATGTTTTAAATTAGTATGAAATCGCAAGGGCAAACAAATGCGTTTTTTGGTGCTCTCGCTTTTAAAAATGGTGTTTTTTCACTAGTTCAGAAATGGATGATGGGCCGATGCATACATGTGCCTGGTCCTACGTTGTAGCTGACTGACTGACTGGATGATATCCAAGTCAAGTATTGTCTGAATGCCGTGGCTTTTAATTGGAAATGGGATTCCCATACTGAAAGACCGACTGACTGTTCATCACGATTGTTTAAAATACACGTAACTTGAGGCGATTAGAAATGGGACTGAACCGGTTATCTTTAAAAGTCTTTAAAAAGTAACTGACGATTAGACTGAAAAAACACTGGTTGAAGTGCTGACACCTCTTACTTGGAAGTTTTCAACCGACGATTTTCCTAGTTTGTGAAGACGAATATCCTCATATCAGTTATTGGAAGCCAACTTAAGTAACAAATTCTTAGGTTATAGAATTTCTAACTAGAGCCATAGGAAAACGGTGATGAAATTAGGCGAAACTTGTTTTCAACTAAGTCAGAAATTTACCATCTGTAAAGACTACCCGATAAAAATTTATCAGCACCAGACTTCTGACACACTTTTTAATATGACGGCTACTTATAAATAGCAAATTAGTCCTAAGTTCTTACACTAAATACTACTAATTTAAGCACTGATGGTTGTACACTGAAGTAGTAAAAATTATACATACCCTTTACATTGGGTGATGCTTGTAGAAGACACAATATTTAATTCATAGACTTTATCACGCTTACAAATGCAATGAATATATTGGGTTTTCAGTTGATATCTAAAAGTACTTTTCTCTGTACAAGTACATAATAGTTTTGTTACGTGTGGATGCTAATAAAATAAGTCAAATATTTCGAGCAAAAGCTTTAGAACAAAGTACTTCCCAACCTAAAGCGCTATCTCAGTCATTTATGGCCAGTTTATTTATTTATTTGAACACATAAATATTGGTACAAGAGAGCGCCAATATATATGCGCCAGTGCACAGCTCGAGATAAGGTATTGAACAAATTAAACTCACTGACAATTTGACTCAGCCGAATCACAGTAACCATATATATTTATTTAAATTTCCTGTGGGCTTTTTCATTTATCGAATTAACGTGTTCACCAACTGCTTGAGCGTGAGTTACACGGATAATAATAGTACCCAGTTGCCCAAACCGAAGAGGGTGAGGTAGGGCACGATATTAAAAACACGGAAGTTTATTGCTTCAACTGCTACGTCACCGATGGGCAAAGAAATTATAGGCTGTACGTTTTCAATCTAGGAGTACCATAATCAACGGATTGGTGAGCTCTGCCTTTTCAAGATTTTGTCTCCGAAGTTGAAATCATGAACTGTTCATAGCTAAACCCCCATTAAAAACTTGGAAGCATTAGACGGCCATTTTGTCCTAGTATGGGACTCCCCAACAATTTATACTCAAGTCCCCGTACATGAGAATCGAGTCCATGGCCTTTGGTCTAGAAAGCAAAAGCTCGAACACCATACCACTGAGCTGGTATCTAATGGTGTCAATATCTAGCTCTAGGTAATGCAATCTTCACTCATCGCTCGCTTTATGGTTTCAGTGGGATCCTACAACCTTCACAACTTCATAGATACGATTATCATGTACTCACAAGTGACTAGCTTGAAGAGAAATTTCGAAAAATATAGTGAGAAGTTATGACCAGTAGGATTTTAGCCTTGTCAGGTACGAGGGAAATACTGGCCAAGGACAACAGATGGTTGCGTAAAATATTAGACTGATTACAGTCAAACTTAAGCATTATTCGATCCCGGTTCAGTGACCTGATAGTTGAGCGCTGGCACGCGAGATTGATAATTGTGACCTTGACTCCAGTCGACTTCAATAAGGATTGCTGAGAAATCCCATACTAGAATAAGACAGCCGTCCAATACTTACAGGTTTTCAATGGTGGTCTAGATATGACCAGTCCATGATGGGTATGGTTTTCGCCCTTTTACAACCGTCAGTTTGATCTAGAAAATTCCATTTCCAAAATCGTTAACCACAACACATTTCGTTTAGGCGAAAAGTATAACATGCACAGATTGTACATTATAAGTGCGTAAAAGGACAAACCTAGTTAATAAACTTACCGTCATCATCAGTTTTAACTTCCATTCGACCACTAAACATTGCAAGTAAGCATTGTGCCACCGCGCAGAAGCGTCCCAATAGTGGTATAGAACAAGCATCCACCGACATTAAGCTTAACGTAACTATTGAGGCGCTCTACAGTATCCGACTCCGCAGACATTTTAAAAGAGCAAAAACCCTGTCTTATGCTGTTGACTACGTAGACTCAGGGAATTTTTAAATTCCTAGTATAATGACGACTTGTCTTATGTACTCCCAGATCTGTATGGTTTCTCATATTTTTGCAACTGTCACTCTCATTTAGGATAATATTAATATGAGTGTTATAAATCAAATGGGAAAGGTCATCGGAGGAGTAAATGAAGAATTTCTTAGAGATAAACCCATACAAAACAGCTGCAGCACAGTCTCATTATGATTTTCATAAAAGTAGACACTGTATTATCAATCTGTCTTCACTGGAAACATTTAATAATGTTAAAGAAGTGTGGGTTTTCGTGAAAACTTTTTATTAAGATTTTTTAAGAACTCCGTCTAACTGACACAGATAATTCACGCAACCGAGTAAAAAGTATTTTATTGAGTTGCGAATTCACGATATGAATGTAATGTTCATAATATCATAACTCGATGAATGAGTAATATAATAGCGTAAATGCCATAATTTAATTTCAGTATGAATACTGGTTATAATTCCATGATAATCTGGCTATGAGAAAAATGCGATAGATGATTTTGTGTGACGGTCAACCTTTGATTGTTGACACACTAAACACTCTTACCCATTTTTATACTACTATTTGTAAATTTGGCCAATATATATCTGGCACTGATTGGCTTGGTAGTAGCTTTCGCGCCGACATGAGATGTAGTATGAAGAATATTAAGTATTAATTTCATCACATTTTGTGTGGACGAAGGTCGAGGCATCACCCTGGTCATGTGACTCTAAATCAACATGCCTTTAATAGGTGATGGTAGATGTCCTAGTTTGAGACTGATGTGCTCTGATCTTTCTGGTTGTCTCTCAACGCTCCTAAGCCTTTTGCAGCTTGTTGAATTATATTCATTTCTAGCCGAGATAATACAGCCACCGTCTTATTTTCCTGACCGTTGGCATGTTGTATATCACTGGTGAACCCTGATATAGTCATGTCGGACCTCTCGAGAAGAATATTTGAGGCTCTTGATTTTAATGCACTGGTTGGTGGTTAGTGATCCATACGAACAATGAAGTCCCTGCTTTCCAACATGCGCCAAAAATGCATAGTGGTCAGATAGACTACGATAGATTCTCGTTCGAAGGTAGAATATCTCATCTTTGCTGGAGCGGGTCGGTTTTCAGGAGTTTTCAACTAGTTTGTTAAGAATACCGCCTACTACATTTTCCGTAGCATCCACCATCAAAGCGAGTGGGGACTGTGAATTCGGATGCATCAGTGTAGACGATTGAGCTAGTTTACCTTTTAGCTGCCTAACAGCCTCAGTAGCCTCACAAGTTAAATTAAATTCTCTTGATTTTCCTTTAAGGAAAACTGTCGAATGTTGCGTTACTTGTGCATGACTAGGTATGAGTCCACGATAAACTTAACCAAAACTAGAAGACTTTCTAAGTTGTGTTAGAGAATAACGTATGGGTTATTGCCTAATAGTGTCCAGCTCTTTCTTGATCGGTGTAACCCTTTCTCGGCTTATTGAGTGTCCGAGGAATTCTAGAATTTGAACACCTAAAACACACTTTGATTTATGTGCATTCCATTTTCATTTAACCATTTTAACACTGCTCTCACGTGCTATCCGTGTGATTTCGAATCCGAACTGGCAATTCACAAATCGTCTATATAACTATGTGCAAAGGGTATATTACGCAGCAGATTGTCCATAAATCTTTGAAATGTCTGTGCTGCAATTTTCAGACCGAATGGCAAGTGTAAAAACTGGAACAGTCGAAAAAGTATAGTAATAGCTAGTGGGATATTGTGATATGCACTGAGTAAGTCAGTTTCATTATATATGTTAATATCATGTCAGCTGTTTGTGAAATCTTGGATATGATGTATTAGGTACTGTTTGACGGTTGGAGGACTTGTAGTGCGACTTTCCTCGCCTTTTTTAAATGGAAGTTCCTTTCACTGTCAAACATCTTTTTTAATGTTGACTAGAAATTCATATCGCTCTAAAAAGACCATTGCTAGTATTGCCAGATCTAAATCGGACGAATTGAAAACAGAAGGGATTTGCCTTTTCGACCCGTTCCATGACTCAGATCTCGGTCGCTGTGACGACTGCCTCCTGTTTTATGACCTTTTTGCATTTATGTGTTAGCCTCTGCGAGATTTTAACACTTGCAATTAGTTCTGCCGTGACTGAAAATTTCGGTGATTCCTCTTTTTGTGTATAATGTATCGTCCATGATCCAGTTGAGGAACCTTTATCCATTGGTCTGCCTGCAACAGGAGCCAGGTGAGATAAAGGGGTGTCCGTGTTTTGTATATACAAACAGTGTTGGACGTAGTAATGGAGAGCTTGAACCCATTCTTGTTTTGTGAATGCTTCACCCACCTTTTTGTCGCTCACTAAGAGTCTGAGGTGACACGAAAGCTGTGACGGTGACCTATCAACTGACATTTCTCCTTGGAATAGCCTTTGGATTTTTCGGCCATCTAATCGATATAGAACTGCTCATTATACCTCGTCTTGAAATGGTGTATGATTGTGGTGTTAGTGGACTCAAAACTAAGTCGCTAACATTTTTGGAGACTGCAGGAGGGATTACAGCATATAAATTCCGATACCGAATTTCCTCAGATTCGGTTTCGTGCCTTGTGAAAGTATGTTTTAATTTGGCAGTCATCAACCCAGGGACAGTACGATCAAATTCTGGAACTCAGACTTTCGTATTCATAGTAGTGTCTGTCTCTTACTTACTTACTTACTCCTGTTACTCCTCGTGAAGGAGCATAGGCCACTCACCAGCATTCTCCATCCAACCCTGTCCTGGGCAATCCTTTCTAGCTCCGTCCAGTTGTAATTCATCCTTTTCATATCTGCTTCTATAATCCGACGCAATGTGTTCTTTGGCCTTCCTCTTTTTCGCCTCCCTTCAGGGTTCCAAGTTAGGGCTTGCCTCGTGATGCAGTTTGACGGTTTGCGTAATGTATGTCCTATCCATTTCCATCGTCTTTTCCTAATTTCTTCTTCAGCTGGAAGTTGGTTTGTTCTCTCCCACAGAAGGCTATTGCTGATGGTATCCGGCCAGTGGATGTTGAGTATCTTGCGTAGACAGCTATTTATAAATACTTGTACTTTCTTGATGGTGGTTGTTGTAGTTCTCCAAGTTTCAGCTCCATACAGTAGAACTGCCTTGACGTTCGTATTGAAGATTCTCACTTTGATATTGGTTGAAAGTTGTTTTGAGTTCCATATGTTCTTCAATTGTAGGAATGCGACCCTTGCTTTGCCGATCCTCGCCTTTACGTCTGCATCTGAACCTCCTTGTTCATCGATGATGCTTCCTAGGTATGTGAAGGACTCTACATCTTCCAGAGTTTCGCCATCAAGAGTGATTGGATTGCTGTTCTCCGCTTTGAATTTGAGGACCTTGGTTTTCCCTTTGTGTATGCTGAGGCCTACTGATGCAGAGACTGCTGCTACACTGGCTGTCTTCATCTGCATCTGTTCGTGTGTACGTGATAGGAGGGCTAGGTCGTCTGCGAAGTCCAAATCGTCTAATTGATTCTGAGTTGTCCATTGTATTCCGTGTTTTCTTTCAGATGTCGAGGTCTTCATAATCCAGTCGACCACCAGAAGAAAGAGGAAGGGAGAGAGTAAACAGCCTTGTCTGACTCCGGTCCTTACTTGGAATGCATCTGTCAGCTGTCCTCCATGCACTACTTTGCACTGTAGTCCGTCGTATGAGTTCCGGATAATGTTGACAATCTTCTCAGGAACTCCGTAGTGTCGAAGAAGTTTCCATAACGACCTCCTATCTACACTGTCGAATGCCTTTTCATAATCAATGAAGTTGATGTATAGTGTTGAGTTCCACTCAATTGATTGTTCGACGATGATCCGTAGTGTTGCAATTTGGTCTGTGCACGACCGATCCTTACGGAATCCAGCTTGTTGATCTCGAAGTTGGGCGTCTACTGCATCCTTCATCCGGTTCAGCAACACTCTGTTGAAGACTTTCCCTGGTATTGACAGTAGTGTAATGCCTCTGTAGTTTTCACATTTGCTCAGATCTCCTTTCTTTGGAATCTTGACGAGGTGTCCTTCTTTCCAGTCCATCGGCACTTGTTCCTCCTCCCAAATCTTTTTGAATAGAAGGTAAAACATGCTTGTGGTTGCTTCGATGTCTGATTTCAGTGCTTCAGCTGGCATGTTGTCGAGTCCCGCTGCTTTCCCGCTTTTGATTTGTCTGGTGGCCATTCTGAGTTCTTCCGTCGTTGGTGGATTGACATCTATAGGAAGATCTGTGTGTGCTACTCCATTGTCCTTCGGAATTTTTTGTTGATGCAAATATGATCTATTTGGTTCTCTGTAGTGTGGGCCGGTGAGATCCATGTAGCCTTGTGTATACGCTTGTGTGGTAATATTGTGCCTCCGATGACTAATTTGTTGAATGCACACAAATTTGCAAATCTTTCTCTATTTTCGTTTCTTCCTCCCAGTCCATGTCGTCCCATAATATCTCCATATCCAGTGTTGTCTATTCCGACTTTGGCATTTAGATCTCCCATCAGAATAGTTAGGTCTTTTCTTCGGCATTTCTCAATGATTGACTGCAGCCGCTCGTAGAACTGATCTTTAATGTCGTCGTTGCTATCATTGGTGGGTGCATAACATTGGATAATATTCATTAAGATCCCCTCCTTCTTCGTTTTGAATGATGCTTTGATGATTCTGGATCCGTGGCACTCCCATCCTACAAGTGCATTTTTTGCTACTTTGGACAGCATAAGAGCGACTCCCTGAGTGTGTGGAGCATTGTCCTCTTCGTGACCGAAGTATAGCAGCATCTCTCCCGTAGCTAGCCTTTGTTGTCCAGCTTGGGTCCAGTGGGTTTCGCTGATTCCCAGTACTGCTAAGTTGTATCTCCTCATTTCCATTGCTATTTGACTGGTCTTCCCGGTTTCCCACATTGTTCGAACGTTCCATGTACCTATAAAAATTTTTGCTCTAGTTGTTAGAAGGGGCATCGGCCTCGTGGCTTCCGAAGGAACTCGGCTTTCACCATGAAGCGTCATAATTCTTCTAAATGAAGACCTTCTAACTCCCAGGGCAGAGTTAAAATGGTTTGAATCATTTTTTCTGGTAAGCGTTTTTTTAGCGAGTTAGGTTTCTACGGGATGGGGACGCTAACCCCATGCCCAACCCTCCCCCTTTACCCGGGCTTGGGACCGGCAGTAACCCTATATGGGCTACAGGCGGAGTTGTCTGTCTCTACCGGTGACGAATTACATTTATCCCCGAGGCTTTCAATTTGGACTGAGTCTGATATGTGGTGTTTAACCAATATAGTAATATAATGTGCTTGGTTAAAATAGTGATCACAATACAAATACTTTGTAATAAAAAACATTATACACAAATATGTAGACGAAATTTATGCTAAAAACGATCAGAAGGTTTACTTTTACGACTAAGTAAAAGGTAACAATAAAATGAGCAGGACGGAAATTAGACCAGGGTCCAAAATAAGGCTCACCAATTTCGTTTCGGTGGATACTCCTTGTTCTGTCGATAGAAGAAACCAGACAAGTGGTGAACAGGTCTTTATTTCTATAATAGACCGTACAGCTGGAGGGCGAGGTTATCTTTTCAAGCACAGGTTTTCTCAACATTTAATGTAAAATATGAAATATAATGTTTAAAAAATAGGGTAGTGTATAGATATCTGAGTTATGATGTTCTGACATTTACTTAGACGTTTGCTGTTCACTAATAAACAATCACCCTGATTTGTTGCGACCATCTAAAATAAACGTAGACTGAATTATTTTCGCTTGATTATTGTTAGTCGAATTTTCTTAGATGTATTATGGAACAGGCCATAGAAGTCTGGCAAGGAGATACTGAATTTAACGAATGAAGTACAAATAAAAGTCGGAACGGATCGATGTTAAATAAGGCTCTATTACTTTCAGGGATTAGTGAATCAGGTTTGTCTCTCCAGCATCATATGGGTTCTTCAGAAACGCCATCTTCGCTTCATTTCACTAGTTATACCCTTAACACTATCATGTATATTTTCCCGCTTCCAAGACACTGACAAAATGTGGTGGGCTCTTTTTGCATTATTGAATCGCCTATACGATAATTATAACTGAACTATGTTTATAGAGGCTCTGACTACTGACCAAATGCAAACTTAGATCAAAGAACGATTATGAAGAAGTTACCACAAATTTGTTTTACAAAGTGCTAGTTTGCAATTCTATGATATATACGAGTCAATCTGTAATTATATATTTCTAAAAAATTATTATATATTTACTCCAAACTTTGTTAGCACTCACCCAGCTTCAAGAACAAAGACACTGATCTTCAGCACGAGTTATCTTCAACAACCCTCAAGCTGCGCCTCAAACAGATGGGAAGAGGTAAGGAAACTTTACTTTGTGACATATCTACAGGTAAGGATCGCCCAATCGTGCCGAAACATTATCGACGCAACGTCTTCAATACGTTTCACAAACTTTCTCATCCAGGTGTTCGTGCAACCACCAAGCTTATAGCAGAACAGTTTTGCTGGCCTGGTATGAAGACATGAGGGAGTGGTCACGCTCCTGTTTAAGTTGCCATAAATCTAAGGTTATCAGACACAACAAATATCCCTTGGGCTCTCTCAAAACTCCCGATGCTCGTTTCGACCATGTTCATCTAGATTTGGTAGGACCTTTACCAGATTCAAATGGATGCCCTTATCTCTTAACCTGCGTTGACCGTTTCACTCGATGACCAGAAGCAATACCTATCAAGGACATCATCGCTGAAGCAGTGGCTCGCGCCTTTGTCGAACGATGGGTAGCAAACTTCGGCTGCCCTTCAACTGTCACTACAGATCGCGGACGTTAGTTTGGATCTGAACTTTTCCATTGTCTGACCACACTTTTAGGAACCACTCGCTCCCGAACGACTGCCTACTACTCACAAGCAAACGGGTTGGTAGAATGCTTTCGTCGACAACTAAAAGCTTCGCTATCAGCTAAAAACGTTTCACAGTGGACTGATACTCTTCCACTCGTCTTACAGGGTATTTGCAATGCAGTGAAAGCTGACATTGGAAACACTGCGGCTCAACTCTTTTATGGAAAGACACTTCGACTTTCAGGAGAATTCGTGAATCCTTCATCTTCTTCAATGAACGTGGATCTAACCTCCTACACGAACAGGCTTACAAACGAAATGCGTTCAGTTAAACCTGTCTCCACCCGACCTCAATCAACTGATGTTTTCGTTCAACCTGACTTACGATATAGTACACACGTTTTCCTTCGTCGAGACTCGCATCGACGACCATTCGAATCAGCATACGAAGGACCCTTCAAAGTTCTTCAACGTGAATCTAAGTACTATATAGTCGATAAGAACGGAACGAACGATAGCATCAGCATCGATCGCTTAAAAGCAGCGTATTTAGAAGGAACTCCTATCTACGTGGATTTTCCTTCGGTACAATCGAACGACACGACTCCGACACGTACAATACCTCATTCGACAAGCAACGCGCAGGATGATACTTCGGTAGTATCTGAAAAAAATTCAAACAACACGTTCTGGAAGATAGGTAAGATTTCCAGAACATTTAAACGACTGTTGCATGTAAGACACCAGTCAACATTTTATTTCATCTCGGCTTTCCATGGTATTATATATAATATAAAAAAATCACTTTTTCTATGCTTATATTTGTTTATATTTATTATGTTGCTAATATGTGTGCTAAAAATTCTTTTGAAAAGCAAAGAAAAAACTTTTTGTAAAAATCTTTTTTACGCCATTTTCCTTTTTTCGCCCACTTTTGTCGTAAAGCGCCTACGAGTTTATTTCGACGTGCACTTACATATTCTTTTTTCTTTTCCAGGACGGCTGGAAAAGACGGTAAAAAAACGATGAGGTTTACGAGGAACCAAAAATTTTCATTGTACATTATTTTTTCACTAGATTGTATTAAATGGTCCCTTATGATAAGAAAAGACGACCAGACGCTGCTAAACCTAGCAAGCTATCAGAAGTGTTTCTTAGCGACCAACCCGTTGGCTTTAAACTTCTGGCTGGCCACGTCATCATTACCCCACTAGGGGGGAGTGATCTGTGGCGGTAAATAAATCCCCAAAGTAAATAGCTTTGTAAGTCTTCGACATTGGATGCTGTTCACATTAGTTTTAATGGACTCACGTAGCTGAAGTCTCTCGGTCATGTATCCGTACCAGATCACGAGTGGTAACTCCGTGCTCAACAACACCTGCAATCGCTAGCTAGATTAGATCAGACGATCCTCAATATATTGATAGCCTATCAAATATACCTTCGAACTCCCTCGCCTCTGTCTTTTGATTTCACGTGGTGGGTACGATTCATATTAGAAGGTGTTACTGGTTAAAGCGTTGTCAAACTCCAAATACCTGTGGCATCTTCATTGGTGGGGCTGAAGTGATCTGGTACACCAATTTGCAAACTGTGAGTCTGTTCCTTTTTGGGATTTTATATATCATTGACTTATTTAAATTTTTATACATTGTGATACGTTTTTCCCGTGTTTTTAGATATGTTTTCTTTTCACTCGTTCATTCTAGTACTTGATATTTCACTAAGACTGAACAGACACCCACTTTCGTTTCAACTGATGCCCTTCTATCCAGACAACATCGAAGCCTGGTTCTGCCAAACAGAAGCCCACTTCTCCGAGCACGGCGTGATCGACAGACGTGCACAACACTTCGTAGTTGTCAAGGCACTACCTGTGGCATCTTTAAGGATTAAGAATAGTGAACTACATCATAAACGTTTAGAATGACTATATCGGTTGAATAAACCAGTACGCGCTCAACATAAAAAAATTCTTCAACTGTATTATGTAGTTTAGTGGCTATCAAGACATGAGGAAACATATTTTAAAAATATTTGATCACCTGTTGTCCACATACATGGTAATCTATGTTTCACAACAAATCATAACTTCAAATATCGAGCATTGATGCAATGATCACTACAAAACTCTTGTTATCTTTTGAACAGCATAAGAGTCTTGGTGCCCTGCGATTTAAAGTCTTACGCTGTGACAAAAATGCCCAGAATCTGTAGACACAACATGGCAAAACGGAATGTAGACATAAATTCTATTCCTCAAGAGGTGTCAAATGCTGGAACTCGCTGCCAGCCGAGCTAGTCCAAGCGACTTCCCAGGAGTCCTTCAAGAGGCAACTTGACCCATTCTTAAGGACCAAGGACAGCATCATACTATGATTTACTGATTTCTTTTTCCTCTTTTATTGTTAGCATACCTAGGTTCCTGCCTGGAAGTTTTGGTGATCCCCTGCTACTAGACACGGAAGCCTGTTAAGCGAAAGCATCTTCTATTCCGTCCACAACCACTTGAACCATTTGAACCCAGCGCCTTCAGCCAGGCCATGTCTAGTGAAACTAACGAAGTCAGCATTAATGTTGAAGACTTATACAACCACTTATTTTGGGGATTTATTCACTTAATCTAATAAACAGGGAAAGAAATGAGACCGTTACTGATCAGGTTTCTGAGGAATCGATATTTGATAGTGATCTTCCTTAATTCCTCCAAATGCGACATTGTGTTTATTGACATAGACTTAAGCTGTTAACGGAAGTGGATACTAAATCATTGATTTGTCAGTTAAGCTTAGAAGGTGAAGTTAATTGTTTGAATATCATAGGTGAAGTACGTATGTTTTGGTGGTTTATTGTTTGCATGGCTCAGAGGATAATACGTAACAAACGAATAATTCAAAGGTGACGTTACACAACGATGGTCGTTAAAATTACCAAGGAGGATGAAAGACTCTTGGAAGAATACAGTCAAGCAGCTTCGAAAAGTTCTGAGAAGCTAGTTTACGTTAACGCAATTATGATATCTTCGATTCCTATCTGTATGTTGTTAAAATATAAACCTAACTTAACTAGGGTTATTTTGGGGCGTTCACAAAATGCCTCTGATAGCTAATTCATTCTTGTATGTAATCATTTCACTGGCCTCAACCTTCCTCATATCTATCGCATACAAAAATTCAAAAACGCCTTTGATGGAAAAGTGATTATTTGTCGTTTCATACATTGTCTTTAGGATTGCTATCCGTCGAACTGAAGCAATTACCAAAGAAGTCAATAACGAAGCTGGTAAAGACAAAAAGTTGTCGAAAAAGAACAGAGAGGATGTGTAAGTGTAACTTTTAATTAATTTTCTCAGTGTCCGTGAACGAACTAAAAAGGTTGCTGATTACGAATCTACGACTTTCTCAATATTTTACAATAATTGCCTATTTCTCCTAGTCTTACTGTTACTTTCTGCCGTCCTTCATCATTTCTCGAATCAAGTGTATCCTTTTGAAGTGTTGCCAGAATCGTTCACATAGTGGACAATACCTCATGCGTCATTTTGTATTTTCCTAGTTCATTTTCTACTGTGTTGCTATTTTCTGGGAAATTGATTGATAGAAACCATTGACTTAGAGGAATGTCTATAATGCTTAGTCGTTAATGACCGTGTTCTCTTTTTGAACTCATCTAACACAATAACTGCGGTCTCTATCCTAACGGGTGTTGAGTGTCGAGTATGTGAATATGGACTGTTCATAAACGACTCATAAGGCAAGGCATGGGTTTTATTGCTTTGCCTTTTCTAACAGTACCATATGGTAGAATCCTGTTTTTCAGTTGCCTAATGTCCTGCTTGTATTCGGTTTCAGCTGTATTGTCGGATGGTTTGCTTATGAATGAGCTTTTTTACCTCTTACCTTCTCTGTAAACATAAAGCACTTTAATTTTACCTCGACTGCTTTAGTTATAATCAGGTACGTGTTTATCGTTCATAATCGTCGTGCTTAGATGAATTATTAGGTTGTCCGTCGTCTGATCAATCCCACTAGTCATTTCACATGAAAATTTTTTAGCTTGCTAACAATTTTACAATTATTTGACAACATACTCTGTTTTTGACCGCAGTAAGTCTAAATGTATTTACTTAACGGAATATACTATGATACTTAACGTTCGTTTAAATCGTGAAAGACCACTAGTTTGTTTTTCTTTGCTTTTTCAATTCATAACCTTCATTCGGGGTAGTTGTAAAATGAAACCGAGTTTCAAAGTTTGCTTGGTGTTTCATAATATCAATCACAAGGCAATGGTATTACCAAAGTAATTTACGTATGACGAGGTGTAGTTTTAATGTTTCCCATTTCCTTAACTAATAAATTAGGAATTACTCTGTATCGATGTTACTCGCTGCCGGCGCAACTGCTTTCTTGTCTTCCGGGAAAGGATCATTTTGATTCCATTAGTAATATACGCTTTTCGAAATGCTTGCCTTCTAAAGTCGATTGTGAAAGTAATTTGATCAATGTTAGTAAAAGTTTCATTAATGTTGTGTATATGTAAATTATCAGGATTTCATTGCATTGGAATTATGTTTTGTTGCGTTCTAAAACTCACGTCGTTTGCAAAACATACGTAGATTTTTCGAAAAGAGACGGTTTGGTTTGCATACATCCCAGTGATCTGCGTTTTTCGCAAATCTACCACATAGGTCTTTACATATAGTTTTAGAAAAAAAGGAACTACAACACAATAAATCTCATAATTCTAAAAGCAGAAGTAAATCAGAAGTGAGGTCTTAAAACGAAATCAGTATGTGGTAATACAGAGAGTTAAATCAGGACAGAGGAAGCGATGGTCTCATGTCATCTGACCTGTATACGTGAATCACAGTTTTTTTGGCAGATCTCAACTTAGAAACACACCTCCCACCTCTTAGACCGATAACCAATAACTTTATAGATCCCATATCTAGGTTCGGAACATACCTCTTAGTTCAATAACAATGAGTAATCACGTTGAAAATTGTGGTTGAATCTCACAGTAATGATCTGGAGTCATTGCGATATATGCTACTTTCACGTAGTTTTTTTGCTTATGCAGTGTAGTTCCTAATCTTTTATTAATATGACTTGTAATACTGCTTCAGTATTCACCCTAATGATTTGAAATCTTTAAATTGATGTAATATGGAAACTTGGTCCAAAGCCCTTGTACTAAGTTCTACTTTGGTTATAACCACACAGGTTTAGACAAAATAATGAGGTATGTTGAAGACTTTCTGCGGTCCGAAAACCTAAAGACTCCATAGTTTGTTATAAAAGTTTCATTCTTTTAAAAGTATGCAAATGATGGCCTACAGATCCTTTTAGTGTATGGGATCAATCTTAACGCTGACTTACTTGGGGTTGTAGAGGCGTAATTTTTGTCGTCTTCTAGTAAATACTAAGGCTCGGTCTTTTGACCCGTTTGTAAATTTGGTAAAATCATTTGTGTAAACGGCTATTCACAAGCTACCTTCCCTGTGCTCTAATTTTTCATCTTGAAATATCAAGGTTCTGGGTCATCAATTAACAGTATTAGATTATTTAAGAGAGGAAACGAGCAACGAGACAAAGTAGACGGTCTTCGTAACAATGCACAGTGCGTACTTTTGTAGATGCACCCCTTTTTAACACAGAATGTAGTAACTTTGAATTTTCGAATCGCAGTGCAGTGGTCTCAGATGCCATATTTTGCGACAGGTTACTAAAGGAAATGTCAGGTAATACATGAATAACCTAACAAAAGGTATTCTGGATTTCAAAAGTAACGAAGAATGAATACGACTACAATAGTGTGTATGGTTTGTACACATTCACACTTTTCGACCGATGGTCTTTAGAATTCTTATAATTTTAAACTGGAGTCCAAAATCGTCCAGACTAATAATTTGATTTGTTCAAAACATTACGCAAAGTTACTACAAAATTTGGTGGAATCTGTTTTGTTTATGGAGATTTATAGTGTTTATTGTATAGGTGTAATGAATATCGGAAATTAATCTCATTTAACTTTTTCTGTTAATTACTGGATTAAATGATGAGAGTACCCTCTTGATACGTGAATGTATGACAGACTCTTCTATTAAACGTGCAGTCAACGTATGTGAATTCATTCTGAAACCTTTGGCGCCACATGTTATACAAGATAGTTTCCGTCTGACTACTTTATAATTCAATGTAGAATAAAGCATTAAAAGCCAGTTTTATGTTAGATAAACTGTATTATAAAACTTATTGAAGTGTTGGAGTAAAAATATACACGTAAACGCTTGAGGAACTTTTAAAGATGTTTCCTGGAAAACTGACAAACGCTCATGAAAGGTTGATCCACGTTCCTGTAATATCAAAATAATTAGTAAAATGTAAAATGTCCGTTATGATATTTGTTTGCAGTCCTGTATATCTCGCTTCAGCCCAAACTTGTGAAATTCATTCTCAGCGTAGACCAGAGTTAAAACCTACTTAAGTGGATTGCCTAGTGTCTAATTTCCTACAATCTGCGTAGACCATTGCTTAAAATGTAATATTCATAAGTTGAGTAGTGTTTCACAAGCAACATCGTCTTAACTTGGAACAGTGGTGAGATATTTGTTCACAAATATTTGAGGTTAGTAACACAAATCTACGGAACCCAGCACTAAAGGGTTTATTTCCCCACTAGTTTGGCAGATTCAGTGTTAGCTCAAGTTTTTTATAATAAAACCAACCACTCATATTTAATCGAACCCTTATTACGGGAGAGTACTCGCTCGTCGATTTTACTAAACAAAGTTCCATCTAAACACTCCCATGGTTAAGGGCTTTCTGATTTCACTTATAAAACTAAATAAGTAACTTAAGGGAATACTTTCAGCCCTATACTATAAATCTATCAAAATAACTTAATGTAACTTACGTTTTGAAAATCAGGTTGGTTGCATTCTTTGAATAGCCAATTCATCGGCCTCTTCATTTTCTTCCATCGTATAGATATCTTTATCAAGTCGCCTTAAATTGACCAAACAAACGCGAACTTCTAGTCGGTAATCTTTGACATCATAAACTGGATTATCTACAGATGGTCAATACACACCACGTAATTATCAGATTGAAGGATAAATTAGCCACTAGGCATAACTTTCGAAAATATTATCACAGTAATTTATACGACTACTTAGTGTGGATGCTTATCAATTTTTAATTAGTCGGTCAAAATAACAATAATTAAGCAGAGGATACGTTAGTAGATGTACAGTTTAACATTAAACTTATCGTTAGTACGTGCAAATAAGGAAAACACTGGTTTAGAGGAGCGTAATGGATGGTGGACAAACAAAATTAAAGAAATTGGTGATACATTCTACGAAAAAAGAGAATGCTGGGTCGGAGTCTAGTAGCTTAACTTAAGCCAGTCAAACTTTTTAGTAGACACTTCCTCCAATTTACGGTTCACTCATATGACTTTTCAACACGAAGTAACTTTATTAATCAATATCACAGACTGATCCTACCAACACCAACCACATACGTTTTATGTTTGGAAATCTTTAGTTCCAAAACTTTTAAATTAGATAAGTTCTTAATTTCGAGGTAGAAACATCTTTGGTGATCGAAATAATACTATTAGCGACATGTGAAAATCATGCTAAACTAAACAAATAAGGTGTCGACAAGTCGTAGATGTAGTGTTATTGTTCCTAGCATGGACTCTGTAGCTTCGATCAAAAATAGTAGATTTCTTATGACTTCTGAAATAATAGCGAACATTGAACTAAGATCAGCTAGTGTCAAGCAAAATATAGGAAGTAAAGATATTTTGTCTTCATATTTACAATGTGAGTTCTTAAGATGCTTAAGTTTTAGGGACAAACTAGTAAACTTTTTTATTTCAGCGACAAGATTTAGGAATATCTCTGGAACTCTGATATCGTATTGTTACGATATAAGATAACATGAACTCATGTCAATGAACATTTAATAATGAGATGTTTGATTTAATTTTGAATGTAGTTTCTAACTTGCGCAATTCGGGAAATGCTTGATCATTAGTTTATAATGATTATTAAAGGGAGGTATTATGTGTAAATATTTGATAAAGTTACCTGTTAAAATCACTGTACGTAAACACTGGAGGTTGGATAGTTTCCTTATTTCTTCTAAACTGCCGATTTGATTTTCCCTATGAAGTAAATAAAACAGTCTTGTTACACTGACATGAGTAGTGTTTTCATGACCAGATATTCATTATATTTGAGATAGTGATTTCAAATTTCATTGCATAAATTCTGTCTCAAGAAGTGAAAACGTATCTTAGTTGACCAAAAAACGTTTGGACAGTTCGCAAGCTTGTCTGGTTTCCTAAACAAGTACATTTCTTTTGGTTAACACAACTGCCCGAATCAGAAAGTAAGGATTGGATTTTTGTAAAATCAGTAACAGTTGTGTTTTACAGAATTTATCTTATCCGTTCCTTATTATCATTGTATTTTAATGACATAAGGCCTTACATTGTGGATTGGTTAGGAATTAAAAAAAACTTGATATTAACATTAAACCAAATTTGGCTAATATATTTGATATAGTCGTATACAACCTTTGTAATACAGGCCCATTCCCGACCGAAGCTGCTACCTTGACGCGGTTGTCGGGCTTGCCTATCGTGATGACCCAACCGAGCTATATTGGCTGGAACATATGTTCCTGTAGGTTCTACCATGTCAGGCAGGTCGATTGGAGAACGGTAAGACTAAAAGCAACAACTCAAGGTCTGGGGGCGAAGTCGTACTGCTGACTGTAGAGAGGTGTGACAGCAGTAAGGTGTTTCCCTCGGACAACCAGCATCTGCAGCGATGCTGCCTTCCCACAAGGAGGGGTGGGGTTAGAAAAGGTCAACCCTAAGAATGTCACACCTCACGGATTTCCGTCTCCGGCGGTAAGGCCCTTTGAAGAACGGAGCTAACACGTTAGAAACCTTCCACGAAAAGGCCGTGCGCGACCGGCCTCAAGCAGTGGTCCGTTGGGCTCTGCGGTCACGCTCCCAGGTCGTTAAGACTAACACTAATCCGACTTCTTTTTCAGGTTCCTCAAGAAATACCCTTCCATGGTGTGGGCAGCCAGGAAATGATATCAGCCCTCATACCCGTAACAGCGCACGAAACCAAGTCGGTCACATTCAAATCCTTCCTACACCTCCTAATACCTCTCTTATCTCCATGACTAACCCTCCTCACGTCTCTTTATCACCTCGCACCGCTAGGGCAAACGATTCGAGTACGCGGAACGCTATTCCTGGTCTCCTGAAACCACGCTCTAAACTACACGTACGAGCTCTTAACGTCCGAACACTGTGCCGAATGGGACAGCAGGGTTCCTTAGCTAGGACTTTAGAATCCCACGCCATCGATGTGTGCTGCGTCTCCGAAACGCGCATACAGGATCCGAGTAGCGTCATTCACTTGACCTCACCATGCCAATTGACTACCTGGTTGGGATCTGTGAGACGATAGCAACCGATGGTTAGAGACCTTGAATGGCATGGCTCAAAATCGTTTGCAATGGCGCAGGTGCATCCAATTTTTGTGTTCTCTCAAATTCTAATCTTCTGAATTCTTCATGTCCCTTTCTTTTTTCTCTTTCCAAATTTATTTCACTGGATTATACTCCTTGAATAACATCTTCAAACTCTAATTTTTCTGATTACAGCTTGTAATTTTACTACATCTACCACTACGGGATTTGAATCGACCACTGTATCTGTGTGCTAACGTGGTGTGGTAACTCGAACTGATCTGCGTACGTACGAAGTTCTATGTTGTTACTGACTGACTGACTTAATACAGGCCCATTGGCTCTTTATCTTTGGCTGTGACAACAGTACACTTCACGTGCTAACATTACATCGAATATCAGTCTGACTGGTCAAATGTGCTGTTCAAAATTCATAATGCAATGAATGTCGAGACTTAAAGCCTCAGTGTAAGCAATGGTACTTTTTATATTGAGCTAGTTAGATTATTTGTCAGAAATTTTTGATATAACAAGGCACAAAAGATATCTCTTAGTTGGTGACAATATTTTTAAAATCTGGACCTGTGCAACGTTTTAGTAAGTTTAAAAAAGGATTCGTGTTGTATCTCAAGGTGTTTGAAAATTGATACTTATATATATATATATATATATATATATATATATATATATATATATATATATATATATATATATATATAAGCCTATCGGTGGTTTATATATTATTAGCAAATACAAGCCAGTTACGCACACCTATGATTTGGCGATTTGTGTTTGGCCCACTGCTTCAATTTGTAATAGTAATCAAAAGAGTTGCGAAAGTTCTAATAGGTAGTTTCGTTTTTGGCATAAACAATACTTCAATAGTTTTCGTTTGAAATATTAGTTTTTATCACTCCAGGCATTGTAATGTATGTGATTATTTTAAGACGCTTTTCAACGTTGAATTCAACTTATATTACATCAAGGCTGGAACTGCATTTCACCTATCTTAGTTCCACAACTTGCTAGCACAACTCTTCTTTGCACACAAAATGTGCCACTGAAAACCAGGTATACAAATTCGGACATCTTTCTCATACTCTCATGTAGTACATTTTACCTGACTTACCTAACATTTAAATATTCTAATCTTGGTAAACATTCAGGTGTTATTCCATCCAGATTGATTAACCCACTACTTCTTATGTGTAAAACAGATAGATTTGGAAGATATCCAATTAGGGAGTTGTAATTATAAGTTTGCCCTTTTTGATCATTAGTAGTGTATTTTAGTTCATTTGGTAAATTTTGTACATTTCCATTTTTTAATTTATAATTTCCAAAACTAATTAGTTTGTTATAACCAAGATATAATGCTTTTAGATTTTTCAATTCTAATCCAATTGCTATATTGATATTAGAATGAGTTATTGTAGTGTCTTCTACCTCAAGTAAATTATGTGATAATCCGAGAGTATGCAATTTCGGTACACTATAATCATTTAAATAACATGATCCATCAGTTTGACTGGTCAAACTACGTAACTGATTATCTGTTAATAAACATAGCAAAAATAAAACAAAGATAACGATTTACGATTTTGAGCTATATTGTTAAGATTTTACTTAGATTAATTGAAATTTTATTAATCCAGATCAACCCATTTTGCAGATAATTTTGATTACATTTTTATACCAATCGGAGTTCTACTGATAATTGGAGAGTAAAACAGATATCTCGTTTTCAATTTTATCTTGTCATTCAAATAAGTTAAATTTTTCCTATGTATATAACAGGACACACTAACTGAGCAATTTACTTTATGTATGGGAGTGTTTTAAACCAGTTTATCAAACAGAGATTGGTAATGTATCTTGAAACTTTTTTCTGATCAGACTAGGTTGGAACCAAGAAAAACAATGATATGGGGATTTACTTCTGACGACCAATAAAGAAGTGTCCAAAAAGAGACTAATATGATACCAAAAGTTGCTTAGAAGCAACAAAGCCACTCATTACAAAATCGTTTTTGCTGGATAAGAGAATAATAACTCAATTTTCATTCCTTTTCCGGTCCCAAAATACAGGTGTGGAGATAGGCATGACAAATTTATTTTGAAAATAGTTTTCGATGTTATAATTATTTATTCTGTAGTTTTTCACAGCCTGTACATTTATCATTAAACAATCGTACGTGTTGTTTAAGTGCATGACCTTGAACACACTTTCTTCCGTCGTGTTACACCCATAGCATGACACACGCTGTTATCTACTAACAAATACACTACTATACACATACCTCTTGTTCTCCATTGCTCGTGATTGTGATAACTGAACTCTAAATCACCTACTATCTACATTTATAGACTGCAGCCAAATTTATATTATATTCTATGCTTGGCTATATCCATGCAAGGACAACAATCTTACTGGAACCACCAACCATCTATAATTGTGGACTCTGGTACCAAACTCAACCTGAACACGCACAAACCAGCTGAATTAAGTAACGTGCCTAATTTTTATCGTGTTTATAACGTTTAACTGATATATATTAACATTACTGTTTGTACTCAATAACTCTGTTATTATTTTTGAGTTCATATATTGTTTGGTCCACCACAATTATCGGGTGAGCCTCGAGTCTATTCTAGTCGTTATATTGCTTATATTTTTTACTTGACACATTAGTTTATTTTTCATATAATGTACTCGCCAAACAAACTAATTGACATGGACTGTCCTCCAGGACAATAGGAAGTGCACTGACAACGTAGGCATACTTGGTTGCCTGGGAGCGTATACCTCTAGCTATGAATAAGGCATCTATTTGGGCAAACCAAATCATCAGGTTTTTAGCTCCGTATGCAGGTAGTCTGAATTCAGAAATGGCGTTAACTGAACTTAAAACATTATCGTCGGAATGTGATGAGTTAAGAGAATTCACCGGAGGACAGTCCATGTCAATTAGTCTGTTTGGCGAGTACATTATATGAAAAATAAACTAATGTGTCAAGTAAAAAATATAAGCAATATAACGACTAGAATAGACTCGAGGCTCACCCGATAATTGTGGTGGACCAAACAATATATGAACTCAAAAATAATAACAGAGTTATTGAGTACAAACAGTAATGTTAATATATATCAGTTAAACGTTATAAACACGATAAAAATTAGGCACGTTACTTAATTCAGCTGGTTTGTGCGTGTTCAGGTTGAGTTTGGTACCAGAGTCCACAATTATAGATGGTTGGTGGTTCCAGTAAGATTGTTGTCCTTGCATGGATATAGCCAAGCATAGAATATAATATAAATTTGGCTGCAGTCTATAAATGTAGATAGTAGGTGATTTAGAGTTCAGTTATCAAAATCACGAGCACTCTTTAAACAGTCTGGGTGAAATATCGTGCATGATAAGCTACCGTGTACCTGAAGTGCGATACTGGCTGAAATAGACTTACGTTGACTAGAAACTTAGGATGACTAGATAAAAACAGCAAAAGTCAATAGAACAAATGGTTGTAAGGTTTAGTAATTTGCAGTATATGGTTGAAGTTTCTTGAATTAGTCACTGGAAAGTAAGTTCATGTTGATCAGAGTAGGACAGAAAATACCTCAACTACTTATTTATTTTTAATGAGAATCTATGCTCTAGCTTAATCAGAATCCTTCCAATGTGTAATTTATTGCATCGATATTGTTTACCATAATACTAATAATAGTAAATGTATAGATTCACTTTTGAGACATGTGTAGTTTGAAAAGATATCTGGGAATACCTGGGTAAACCAAAGAAAAATGAAGACAACTCAGCGAAAATTTTCTTTTCGACAAAAACATTTACTTAGACTGTACATTCGTATTTATACTTACTTGGTAAGGATATGAGATAGAAAAGATTGTATTACAAAGTGATTCGATATGTCAAATACCAAAAGGGGTTGTGTAATAATCAGAGGGTTAACAAAGAAGAGGAGGATGAAAGTAGTCTACGGGCCAGAATTATTTTCATCTTGTTCTTCATTGACCCTCTGATTATTACACAACCCCTTTTGGTATTTGACATATCGAATCACTTTGTAATACAATCTTTTCTATCTCATATCCTTACCAAGTAAGTATAAATACGAATGTACAGTCTAAGTAAATGTTTTTGTCGAAAAGAAAATTTCCGCTGAATTATCTTTGTTTTTGTTCAACGACACCTGATTAAATAATTGTTTAATGTTTTCGAGTAAATTGTGTCGACATGAATGCCCTAAAACCCTGATATGTCATAATTTATGACTTAATATCGCTTTGACATTTTGTACCATAGGGAGAACATAGTTTGTTTGGATATAAAAAAGCTTGAAAAGACCATTAACATGGTTTTAAATGAGACTTAGTGCATATTGTAAAGGAAACATTTTCAATACGAGAACCAAGGGACATACAAAATTTGTTCGATTCTCTCAGAATGACTGCTTTAACTGAGCCCTCAAATGCTCCAGTCAAGACTGAGTATGGGGAGTCAGCTCTTTCTCGAAATACTCTCACATGACCACGCGTATATAGCCGCTGCCAGGGAAATCCTACTTACTACCTTCTCGTGGCGTGGGTGTTTTTTATGAAATTGGGAGGACTAAAAGCGAATGTTTGGTTCTTTAACCGGGTTGGTGGATACAGAAGACCCATTTAAGTGATTTGGAAAACCATGATTTCAAGCCAGTGGTGCATATGGACTCCAGGATCTTGAGGGATCAAAGGGCGTATGAACCAGTTGTTGGTCACCGGCTACCATGGGACTGCATCTCCTAACGTTTCTCCACTGCCTTGTGGGTTAGACCGTTAGGTCAAAGGCTTGAAGAGTGGCCCTCTAAGGAAACGACTCGCTTCGGTTTGGGCATCCGGGCTGTATCCAAGCCCACACGCAAATCAGTTGGTTTGTGTGGAGCATATATATTTGGTACCTCCTTGTACTAATTTTTATGTGTTTAAAGAAATAAATAAACTTTAGCCGACAGCCTGACGTTTTAGGGAATCATATATTTAGCCACTCAATAGACACAGTTACCTAGTTTGCTCAGATCGTCCACTATTGACAAAGCAGTCTGAGTGGGTAAAATAACTTGTTTAGTGCCGTAAGATGATCTGTGTATTTGGCAGAGATATTTTCAGTAGAAAGAAGGTCCTCCTAAAAAGTATGAAGAATTTCAAAAAATTGGCGTCAGTGAGTCAAATTACGGAACACTTTCTCACATACGACATGTTGCTTTCTGATTAAAAATATCTGGAACGTTGATCATTCTGCATCGAGGTTTTATCATGAGTTTATTAAATTTCAATGGTGCTAAAATAGTGATAATAGTATGTAAACATAGATCAAACATACTCATCACCAATATCTAAATTAGTTGAAACACTATGCCGAGAAATAATAGGATTATTCAAATTGTTTGCTTTGTGTTTGTAACCAGCAAAGGTTTGCTTGCAGATGATAATCGTTTTAAAAAATAGTGAAACTATCTTCACATCTTGGTATTCATATCTTGTTAAAACACAGAAGGACCTGGATGCTCAGTCTTAATTTGTTTCCATAAAATTAAAAGACAATCTATTATAAATTCGCTTATCATGACCCAGCTACTCTTATTACTTGGTAATCTTGGATATTACTTCATTCGACAAATCCTCAAATCAGAACACGGTTGAACAGGAAACTAATCATATTTCAAATAACAAGGTTGGCTGGAAGTAGTGATACCAATGAGAAAAGTATAAATATATTTTTTTAAATAAGGAGATTCTCGAGTCTTCTCTAAGTATCCGTATTCGTTAAGAAATAGCCCTGCACGTAATATGCATTAATCCTATCTATATTTTCGCTAACACAATGGTTTAAAAACGCCGATTAAAAGATCCAATCGAAGTACAGTTTAAGTTATTGGCACACTTAATGAATAAAACATTAAGTGTATTGCGAGTCCCAAAATATTATTTCCAGCCTCGACACACATTCTCTTCTGAATTCTTAATCGAAAAAATAATGAAAATTTAGCGTGTAGAGGGATAGTTTTGTTGTCAAATGAAGTAATTTGATTTCGTAAAAATATTATCTAATAGTGTATCTATTGCTCATTATTGATAATAACAATAAGGCGCACTTTATGTTAAATTATTCACCAGAGAAGAACTATTCACGATCTTAAGTGTGGTTAATAGTGATTATTATTCTTTGTATGTTATCCGATTTCATTACTTACAAATAGTTAGAGTTAAAAATTAGTTATCTCAGCTATATTAAACATTAAAAAATGCACAGTAAACGTCTCGGTTAATGAAGAAGTACCTGGAAAAACCAAGCATAGGGTTAGTAGATAAAATTCAAATGAAACTATAAGATTATAATTTTGTGATTACTTTCAAACTGAGTTAGTAGTTTGTGATTGTTCTACGCGTATTTTGGGTGTTTGTACAATAGGAACTAATCAGCTGCAATACGATGTAAAAATGAAGTGAGTTATTTAGACTGATGATAAATTACGGTAAAATAGCAAAGCTTGGAAAGTATTATCCAAGTGTAGACATACGTGCAAGTTAGAAACATTTATCACTGGAGACAAACTGAATTTCAGTAAATTTTACCACGTAATAAAACTTACTGTCAAGGAATAGAACCAACAATCTCGGGTAATTTACAGTTGTCAGCCTTTTAATACAATTGTTTCTTAAGTCTAAGTGTGTTAACGTGGGCCAGTTTCCACAAGGAAATTCTTCTATTTCATTATATGATGCTCTTAACACAATCAGATTGTTTAAACCATATAATGCTCTTAAATTAGTTATACGATTGAATCCTACGTTAATGTAGCGCAAAAATACAAACCCCTTCAGTGCATCGATATTCGTTAGCAATCTGTAAGAAAAATAAATTTCATATTTATTACGTTTTTATTTAATATATTCTATAGAATAGGGTACAATGGAATATAGCAGTTGGCAAAAAGTACATATTTAGACCGAGGTTCAGACTAAAGTGAAATAATCTTATACCATTGACCTGAGATAAGTCTGTATATATGAAGAATATTCTCTATTAGTTCCAATGATCAGTCATATACGACCTAAGTGTTGGTGAATAGTGCACATCACGTGAAGTTACAACACTTCTGTTGACACATAAACAAAACGTAAAACAAGCAAGAAGTCAGAAAGGGAAACTAGCGAAAGATTATTGCTAACAAAGGAAAATAGAAAGTATTATCCTGCTCTGAACATTAAAGTGATACTCTGAAATTTCTAATTTTCCTAAAGAGGTGTGAAAAAATGTTTTAAATAAATCCAGTCCTATGAAATCTTAGAATATTCATTGGTTCATTTTATGCATGGAAGTGAAATTTTGTTGTCGGTGATTGGAATCATATAAAAGTTTATTGGCAATAAGCGTTAAATCTTGAAAATAATATATTCCGTCAATTAATCAAAGCGACAAAGGTCATAAAAACTGGGTTACAAAGTGGCGAGACTATATTTTGAAGGTTCCTTTAACAAACCTCACCCCAAGAAATATGCTTAAGAGAGATTAGTGCGTAAAATATAAGGAATACCTGTTTCTTCACACGTGCCATTTGAGCAATTCAAAAAAATAATAATTGATCTGTATGCGAAGATAAATGTGCGGATCGGATATAGACTTTTGGTAAGTTCCCATTGACAGAACCAAAAATCTAGGTGGTCATATGTTTTCAGAGTAAATTTCAAGGACTTTTAGTGCTTTAGTTCTTTATGTTAAATGACAAGGAGTTTAACATAATGGTGACATTTCTGTCTCATTATGGAAACTTACTATTCACAAAGTTAAATTATTGATACGAATAGGTTTCTGATTAAGTAAATCCGGATTTATGCGTGTTAAGTCTTGATCAAATAAATGACATCTCCTATTGCAATATAAATAAAAAATGCAATGTATGCTGAATATCGGTGCAAGTTATTTGTGTATCATATAAATAAGAATAATTATAAGTGGTGCTTAACATAATCCCATATGACTGATCGCGACGACTGATTGTCCTAATATATAAGAAGGGGTCAAAATCATACTGTGACAACCATAGAGGGATTAGTTTGACTAACATAGCACCTAAAACACTAGCCTCAATGATTATCGGCCGCTTGACTAAGACTCGTGAACTGCAAACACGAGAGAATCAAGCTGGCTTCAGATCTGGTCGTGGCTGCATAGACTACATATTCACCATTCGTCAGGTTCTAGAACAGAGGCATGCTTATCGGCGTCCGATAATGATGGTCTTTCTTTACTTAAAAGCAGCATTTGACTCTGTTGATCGCGAAATTCTGTGGCAGTATCTGTCATTGAAAGGCGTACCTCACAGCTTATGGAGAACTGTCATCTGCTTTTGCAACCTCAAGTGGTGTCCGCAAGGCTGTCCACTTTCTCCATTTTTGTTTAACTTCATCATAGACCTACTGATGAAAACAAAGTTCTTGTCAACTGAATTTTCGGGTATTAATCTCCTACCAGGAGGTCCACTTATCGACTTAGAATGTGCAGATGATATAGTCCTATTTGGTAAAGATGCTAGTAAAGTGCAGAGTCTATTGATAGCACTAAGCAACAGTGCCAGAATGTTTGGAATGCGTTTCTCTCCCTCTAAATGCAAGTTGTTGCTTCAGCACTGGCCTGCGTCAACACCTGAACTATGGATAGGGAGTGAAGTAGTCGAACGCGTTGATAACTCCACTTATCTTGGAAGTCTGATCAGCCCAAATGGGTTGGTGTCTGACGAAATTTCAGCACGGACTCGGGAATCTCGTTTGGCTTCTGCCGCCTTACGTCACCTATGGTGAAGGCGAGATATCCGTCATTCAATAAAAGGAAGAGTATACTGCGCGGCAGTCCGTTCTGTTTTGATTGACGGCAGCGAAACATGGCCTTTAAGAGTAGAAGACACCCGTAAGCTATTAGTGTTTGACCACAGATGCCTTAGAAATATTGTTCGCATCTGCTGGGATCACCGGGTAAGTAATAGGGAGGTTAGACGCAGGGTATTAGGGAACGATCGTTGATGAGGTTGTAAATCTTCACCGACTAAGACGGTTGGGCCGCGTGTTGCATATGCCTGAACACCGATTACCACGACTCACAATGCTGACCAGCGTTGGAGACTGGGTGACATAGCTCAAAATCGATCACAATGGTGTAGGTGTATACACTCTCTATCTTCCCTTAAACTATGGGATTGAAGTCATTTCATATCTTTCTTTCTACGAACTAATTCCTTCTTCTTGTAATATGTTCTTGTATGCAACCTTTCTTTTATATATTAACATCAGTGAATTAACTACTTGTATGAATCCAGTGGTCATCCTGCTGTGCTAATGAGGTGTGGTAGCTTTGACAGATGCATATATGTGCCTGATTCTACGCTGTAGCTGACTGACTGGTGCCTAAAAGTGTGTTTGAAAATCTACATGCTCAACAAAAAAAGCGGGTAATCTTTCAATTTGAAAAAAAAAGAAGTTAGTATAAACTCATACTGCATTTTCATTCTTACGGTTTTTCAATAATAAGAAAATGCAAATCAAACAGTGACGATGAATTATACTGCTAATATGCCAAAATTAATAACAAATGCGCCAAATGCTCAAGCAGCTATAAAAGAACGATTCTAAACTAAAAGCAACCTGATATCTTGAACAGTTCGTTGCAAAGAGTTTAAGGTTTGTTAGAGATGAACGTGACAACTCGATATATATATATATATATATATATATATATATATATATATATATATATATATATAAATTTACTCGACTTTAATGAGATGAAAACCTGCCAACGGCAATTCGCTTGGTCTACTGCACACCACCATGATCATATTCTCATGAAAATTAGATCGAATCATAAATAACCGATGTAAGATCCTTGATAAAAATGATTAGTTACCAAATGGCAACCAACAACTGCGAAAGTATTGAAGATAAGGAGTGAAGTATTTTACAAACTGTTTATATTGACCTGCCAAGCCAGTTATGCAAGGTTTATGATCAAATTAGCAGTGGTAGTTTTACGTAATTATTGAGAACATACGGCGGCCGATAATAAATTCCACTTTTCAGCAAACTAAGTTGTTTAGTTAATACGTTTGGTTTCAGTATCGTTTCTGTCACATCAAGGACTAATTTGATGTACGATCATCAAGCATCTGCAGTTAATCGAGTATTTTGAAAAAAGATGGCGCTGTGAATCTCTGGCAGCAACGTTTATTGTAGCCTTTTGTTCTATATTATTTTCAGAAAGCAGTATTTGACACTAAAATCAATTCCCAGAAATATTGTTCAAATGACTAGATCTCTAATAAACAAAATAGTTATCAGTATACTTTAAAGTAATCGTATATAATATACATATAGAAATAGTTATACATTTAGCGTTACATCTATAGTATCTATATCGATCAGATACGGCATAAGAGTTAGAATATACATGCCTTACCTGTCATTGCAAATAAATTTAGCTGGGGCATATGATAACCCGTCAACTGTTTCGTTTACATAACACAAACTTGAACTTATTATTTCTTTGTTCAAACATACGGATTCCGATGACTTTTCTGTAACGCTTACGTGTTTCGGCGTTAGCTCAGAAATGTTAAATAAATAATGTTACCCATTGCTCTGATCGAGTTCAATTTTTGGAGTTTGATTCTCAGTAGGCTGAATTGTTTGCATATTATATACTCTCGAAGTTTTCCAAAATTTATATCACTGTAAACTAAATTACCAAAACGTAATAAATAAATATATTTAGTGAAACAGTGACTAAAAATATCTTCTAGAACCAAAAAGCAACAAAATATCATATATTCAATATAAACATCAGTTATCTTATAAGTTATGTACTCAGATTGCTTCAAAACTGGTAAACAGATCACTTTGTTTGAAGTATACTTTATAAAATTCATAGCACTTTGATACTGAACAACTTAGCTGAGTGATGATCATAGTTTGAAAGCTCTTTGAACCACGTGTTTAGTAAACACAGGAAAGCTAAATTTAAACAATCAAATTGAAGGCTAATTTTGAACTGACTTCAGTCGACTATAATAATAAGTGTCATTTTTAGAAAAGACTACCTTTTCTACTATTGTAATGAACAAGAACACGAGCGGGAACAATCGAATGTATATGGATACAAAATTACAGAGCATCTCACTAAAACCGGAGAACCATTTAGTAAATCGTTAATTTGCAAAATATCAATCCATCATCTCAAACATCAATCCATTGTCTCAGATTTCATTGTTCATGCGTTTTCATACCGATTGCGTTCCGTTCCCATTCTTCCCTCATCGACCTTCTACTGAAATATATTCTATGACTGATCACCGTTATATACTACTCGTGTTGTTATAAGTAACCCACACCACACTGTCACCGCCTCTCCAGAACTTTAAGGGAGCAAGATATAGGTCCGATTTTGACAGTTAGCCGGGACACTAAGAATAACTAACAGACGGAAATGATCAAAGATTACGCTATTTTTCGTCTTATCCGAAAAATAGCTAGGCATTTAAACTCATGTTCACTACGTGACAATATTCAAAACTGACCTCTGTTCCTATATAGATACCAACAACGCTGTCCCAACACCACGTCCTTAGAAAGGGAAATGAATATCTTGTGACAAGTACACAGGAGTGCTACGAAGTTGCCCAAAAGGTTAATGAATATGGCTTGTAAAAACAACTTATCTTCAATTGTTCGTGCTAAGTCAAAGAAGAGAATAAGGAGGCGATCTGACAATGGAATGCAAAAATACTAAGCCTCCTGACAATCCAGATAAAAACATTCAACCCGAACCTCAGCATCGCACTTGATGAGGCTACTTACAACGAATAGTACATCAGAAAAACATTAATTAGATAACATTTTAGATCTCATAATGCAGTGAGTACAGACTTTCAACTGAATAGCTTTAAAAGAATGCTGGATAACCATGTACTCGCCCATGAGTTACTGTTCCCTCCCTATAATAGTTGTGTACGACCCACGTCTTAAACGCTATCATTACTGCCACTTTTATCTCAATTGTTTTAATCAGTATCATTAACCTTACTCATATTATTATCGCCAGATCTCTGCTTTAGCAGAGTAATTACTCTCGCCTATGTCAAAGAAGGTTAACCCTATTTGACAGATATAATTACATCTGTTACTCTTAGAAATTTTTTGTTCAAATTGATCGCACAAATCACCAATTAACTCGAAGGATGGTGTTCTTTTTGCATCTCAAAATACTATAAGATTGGAGATTATATATATGTTTCCGAAAGTACTGGTTTTGGTTAAGGATTGATTGAGAGCGAAGGTACGTTATTTTGCATGTCAGACATAATTCTAGCTTATATAATTCATTCTATAGAAATATACGACTTTTTTTTAACAAATATACTTCCTATCATTTTACTTTGATGTAGATAAGAAATTTTTAATTTAAGAGAATCATTTGCCTTTATACCCAAGAGATACGTAACGGAAAATATTAATATTTCTGTTTTTCAACGTAACAACCCTGAACTCAAAAAATCACACTTTGTAACTATAGTGAAGGTGTATCCATTGAACAACACCTGTACATTGTGATTTATTTACTCTCATAACTAGAAAACCGAAATCATAGGTCTGAGAATAAAAGCGTATACGAACGGACGGATATTAATCTGGTCAAAAGGTAAGATGATGTAAATCTTGCACTGGTAACATTGAAATGCATTTTTGGCCAGTTTGACGGTATGGTTATCCACATAATCTTCAACAATTTCATTCGTCCCTATTCAGAGTACGGAAACATGGTATTTTCTCCCTCATTCCAAAAGGATAAGGACACTCTGGAGCGTATGTAACGGAATGCCACGAAATCAATTCGGGGACTCAAGTCCAAGCCTTACGAAGAGCACCTCAATTCACTCAACCTGTACCTATTAGAGTATAGGCGCCTTAGAGCCTACCTTCTAATGGCTTACAGCCTCCTTAGTACTTCTGGACATCTCGTTAAACTCTTAATTAAGTTTAGCTCCAACACAAAATTAAGGGGCAACACCCAGAAACTAGAGACACAACATAGCAAAACGGATTGTACACACACATTCTACTCCTTAAGAGTCATCAAATACTGGAATTTTCTGCCTACTGAACTAGTCCAAGCGGCTTGTGAGGAGTCCTTTAAGAGGAAACTTGACCTATTCTTAAGGTTGAAGGACAGTTTCTATTTCCCTTATTGTCGTTGATGTACCTAGGTTCCTGCCTGGAGGTATTTTTGATTCACTGTTACCAGACACAAAAGCTAGTTAAGTGAAAAATTCTTCTATTCCGTCCACAACCGTTTGAAATCTCATAGTTTTTAATTTGACTTGTCGAAGCAAGATCAATCGAGAATGAAATTCATTTGATCAGTACTCCATCGATTCTATGACAGACCAAAAACGCACGAAACGAACATCCCACCACGTCTGATTGAAGCACTCCCCGAACCTCAGACTGCAATTTGTCAAGAAAGGTTTCACGAATATTGGAACCTTTAATGGATCCATCCGGTCACTCCGTCAAATCTACCATACAATTCTAGTATAAAATCAACAGCGACGGACTGACGATATCCTTCGATGTAACAGCCTTATTTACCCCAACTGAACCAAGCTTAGCAAAAGAAACTCTATCCCTGCTTCTTGCCAAAGACACAAATCTCGCGAAGTAAACGAAGCTTCAAGGTCGAAGTTTTCTAGAACTCGTAAGTTTATGCGTGACAACATATTTTCAGTTCAATTACGAATTCTGAGAACAAACGAAAGAAACACCGATGGGAACACCAACAGCAGGACTTCAGAAGACTCGATCTTACCAGTGATGAAGGCAAAATTTTGGATTCATTATTTGAGCGAGACATTTGCAAGCGTCAAAAAAACAAGTTGAACAATACCTGCAAGCTTATCAACAACGTCTTTGATAAAACAATTTCACAATGGAATAAAGATCGAACAACGAAATAACATACCTTGGTGTATTGACCACCAGAACCAACACAAGAAAACACAGGAAAAAATAAACGCAAATAAAAAACCAACACAAGAATCAAGTATATTGGAAGCTGACTCAGACAGATCATATTCCCAATTACAGTGGGAACAACCTATGAGTTCACAAAATCAACTGAGTAAAAACATTTTTCAAGAGGGTAAGGAAATATTGCAACAAACCGCAGCGCGAAAAAATTTCTAAAGACTAACTTTCAAAAGAATGGCTATCAAACCATATTCATGAAAAAATGCCAACCAACCACACCTGAGGGAACGAAATCAAGTACAGAAACACACAAATGGAACATTCTACCACATACAAAAGAAGGAAATTACAATGAGATTACTGAGGCACTTTTGAATAGGGGGAGCAAAGTAACGGGCAAAACGACTTAAATTAGGCCTATGCAAACCAAAGGATGGATGACAGAAGATAAGTAACCGATCATTTGATATTTAGAAGTATTTGAATTATAGTGTAAACTAAGAATCCCAGAAACAACGTAATCGGATCAAGAATTACTAGATAACCACAAACAAATGTACTGTATTTAGAATTCGAAATCAAGCATTCAACAGGTGCAAAGATATCATTAGTTCATTCAAACAGCACAGAACATCATCTGCAAAATCAGTTGTTACAACCACGAAAAGTAATACACTGAGAAATATGGACACCAACGTCACCTTCACCTGCACGAACATCAATTAACAGTGAAACCCTGGATGTATCCTCGTTAATATCAATGCATGTGGACAGTTGTAGACACACATCCAACCGTGAAGATGTTGAGATCTTGGGTAGAAGCAATTCTAAAAACACCAGAGAATTTTTGTACGCTCGGCACTCGCGTCAATCAGTAATCAACATACACATCATGATCGATCCTAACTATCAACCAATCAGAAATAATATAGACAAATAAAGAACCAAGAATCAAATCGATACGAGATACAGTCAAAATAACGAGACAGATGATGATGGGTTAAGAGTCAACAATAGCCAATCAAGATAGAGGCTGGCAGGACAAATCGTTTCATATATAGGGAATTTCGAACACTGCACTTCAATCTGAAGTTTGTGCCTATAATGACGTTCAGAATAACAATTAAAGCTCCACGACAAAACTGTCTAGCTCAGAACACAAAGCTGAGTCAAAACCGTTCACGCCAGCTACAAATCCTATCCACGCGTTTAACTACAGGTTGAACTTATGTTTCTCAACAATGGATACGAACCCACTTGTTTATAACTTTTGATGCACCTTTTTTAAAATTAAGGGAATAAATGTTTGCGTTTCATTGACATTATCAGTTGTCGCTATCTATTGTAAACATCATACTACTAAACGTCGATTCGATATTATTTTCGCTTGAAAAATGATGTGACTTGCTCTGAAATACTGTTACGAGATAACTGTCTAACAACTCGACGGTTATGCCCATGGTGGTAAATTACTTACAAAATAATTCGTTCAGTGAATCCTCGTCACTAAATCTGACCTCATTAGTTTTACAAGACGTGCCCGAGCTGGAGGCTTTTGCATCCGAACCACATAACCATAAGATACACTGAGCATGGTTTACGACAACTAACCAGCTTATGTTACACACTTCCTGACATAATGAGCGGCCTCCTTGGGCATCTGTTCCTGCCATCTACATATTTCAACAAGTTATCTATTTGTTTGTTTTAATATACCATTACGTCTATTAATCGCACAACCTATTCTGCTGTGTTTCTGGAAAGTGTACAACATTTCGTTGTCAAAGTTACAAAAAACTCAATAAGAAACAATGTGGTCGCTGGCAATATACAACGAAAAGAATGCACATTATTCAGATGTTCATTTACTGAACTGCTAAAATCTAACTGGCGATCACCAGGACCGACCAAGAAGAAATACTTTGCGCTGAGAATTCTATATTGTACCAAAAATACAATATTGAATAAAGTTGATGATAATAAAAAAAGACTGCTATCTTTCAAATATAAATTTGGACTATTTCACGCCTGGTCTGTGATTATAATATTGCGGATAAAATCGTTACCATGCCCTGAATGTCTGCGAAGTCCTTATACCGACGCCAGACTGATTGTTGCCCAGGTTGACTCAATTTCAAGTTTTTGAAACTCCAGTTCAGTGGACACATATTTCACCCATGCTGGTTACTGTTTGAACCTAGCAATCTCCCAAGTCTAGGTATCATCGTTATTTAGATTGACGTCAGCGGAAGCCGCAGATAAAATTTAGGTTATCCCCTAAAATAATGAGCAGCAGAAACTAACTGTACTGAACCAAGATATCCAGGTAGTGGTGGGTAACTAATGCAAAGAAGGAGAACCATCACTAGGTAATGACTGAGTGTATCAGGATGTAGTCGATAACCAGACGTCATGGTTATTAGTGGGTGTATTCCAAAGCAACTAAGAATCATGTATATTTACAGGATGTCTTCAGTGCCCATCTAACTACAACAACTTTCACAAGTTCGACCCTAGCATTAGTTAGGTTTAGGACTGAGGTTAGTTGAACAAACTTCGTTACCGGCTCTAGGACTTTGACATTTGCGAAATGCCACTGCAAACAGACAGCTGAAAGGAGACGATGGGAAGGCTAAAGCAACGAACGACCATCCTACCACTCTAGAGTATAACTTGAAATTCAAATCACGAACTAGATTCTTGTAGAGAACGCTGTAAGTGTTGTTATCGCTATCATGAACGTTTTTTGTGCTGATAACTTCGAGGCAATACAAAGTGCATGCATACTAAACATATTTTCCGGAAAAGAATTTTAATACGTAGCAAAAATGTTTACTAAATTTGTTTTTGTGTACATATAATTTATATTACTATACACAGTGCGATATGGATCTCAAATCACAGAAAAGCCAGAAATATGCAGCAAGGGAAGTCCGCGAAATGAATAGTGATAATAAATCGGAAATCCAGTATTTAGTTAATCTCAATGTCGATATGAGTTACATTAGGGAATTCCTTCTAAAAAATGGAATACAATCTGTAGATTAGTTGACGCATAATTTGGTAAAATAAGCAACGTAAATATACTATCGATATTATTGCATTCTTAGAAATAATTCATAGTAATTTCTATCGAATTTTTGCAAAAGGGAAGCAAGTAAATGAATTCATAGAACAAATAAATTTGACCAGTGAAACACGACCTAACGTTAAATAATTGGACTTGAAAGAGTAACTGATCGACTTAAGTGACTACTTTCCATATATTAGTCAAATTCGATTGACTTTCTAAACGCGACTCAAGTAAGAAACAAGTTGATGGTGACAATCTTATTGGGAAATGATTTTACTTAGAAATGCGTTAATAACTGCCCACTTTGTGAGACTGATTAAGCTCTCTTAAATTACCAGTTACTTTAAAATATCTGCAACTATTGAGTCGCAGCAGCGCACGCGCCTTTCGAGTCTACCATTCTAGGTATCTTTTAAAAAACGAGTCACTGTTTTGATTTTCCTTTCATTCTCTATGCAGAAAGATGACTTGGTTTGCCCACAACATTTGGCCACGATATATGTGACCGGTACAAAATCTAATCCTTCCAACTGATGGATCCGGAGAGCGAAAGTTATATGCCTTATAAGGTAATTGAAGACTTTCTTATTGCTGTAATTTACTCCTCTTGCTAGGTTGGGATAAACACAAAAATACAATTATGAACAACTTTATTGTACTGCATTTGGGTACACTCCCGGAAATGCTAACAAAACCAAGTATTCGAAATCAGTCATGATATTTGAAGTCAGACGCATACTATTTAACTTGTTGAACGTAAACATATACCGATCTTTAATTTTCACATGTCAGCTGGAAGGACTAACTTCTGTGCCAGTCATAGACATCGCAACTTAAATCCTATAGCTTAATGAAGTCACCATAAAGAAAAAGTCTATCAGCAAATTAGTTTAGATACAACCGAATTCCCAATGTTTTATGGGACGCCCACGGTTCTGTTGTGGAAAATCTTCCTTAAACGAACGAATACTTAAGGTATGATATTAACTATTTAGCCAAATAATTGATGTCCTACAATCAAGTATCTAGAGATATTTTATTGCATAAAAACAGAAATAACCAAAAAGAAGTAGAGTAACTAACTTTAGTGACTTAACAACACAATCAAACAAGAAGTACAAATAGGTGCCAGGACATATATGATCGTAAGAGATGGATACAGATCGATACTGGTCTATTTACGCGCAGAGATGATTTGAATTCACAAACTTCGATTAAAAAATGGTTGTGACAATTTAGAGATCTAAAGAACACTTATATCTATCAGATTTACTATATCTAGTCAGTTAATTAATTAATGATATTAATTTCATTACGTTATAAAATCATATTTTTGATGCAATTTATGACTTGTCAGTTTAATATCTTGATATGTTGTCACTAGCAACTGTACCCAAGATCCAAATGAATCACTTCAAAACCAGCTGCTAATTATTTATGAACCACGCTTTTTTATGTCTGCTCTTGAGTGTGTTAACTTCGTTGGCGTATCTCCCTATAATCTTCACTGTAACCTCATACAATTTGTAATACGAAGTAAAGACCACCGAGCTTTATCAGTTGGTAACTGTTTCACACTTACATACTTTATAACGACGATCCAAGTCTAGATACTGGATGGGGTTCTTTGTGGTAAGTAACAAACCTAACAGAAATAGCCCATTATGGTTTTTAACGGTTCACTATCTGACGTCAGTCACTGACGAAGGTCGCTTCAAATTATAAAAAACTGAATAAAAAGGTGTATTACCTTAATTTTCTCTTCAATTTTATTAATTTCTGCGCCTAGTGTGTTCACTAAATTATCACCATGTTTCAACATAAAATGAGCCAGCTGCTGTTCAGTTTTGATATTTTTCACCTCCTATAAATTCATAAAGCAAAAGTAAAACTGAGTCGCTTCAATCAGATCTTTTGAAATTCAGGCTGACATAATTTTGAACGTCGACATAACAAAAATGAAATCTGTGTTTTAGATAAGTAAAATAAATCTTCTGGAATATGATGACTGCTGTTTCAAGGTAATGAACAAATTCGCTTCCTCTAACAAGAAGGAAACCAAGCTGAAACAACTTGAAGATATCTTAATCTAAGGCCCATTGTAACAATAGGGACAAATATCATGACAAAAGAAACAAAACACATAAATAAACCTCGGACTTAAAAAGTAGGAAGAAAGATGACGTAAACAATGTACGAAAAAACTATTACCTCTAAGACATAAGATAAGTAATTTAAGTAAACGCGTAAGAGGACAGTGAAACAAAAATGAATATTATACTTGAGCTGCTTTAGTCTATTTTTTAAAACTGATAACTAACAGAAAATAATTTGATGTTTTTAATTTACGTCTTACACTTTGAACTGATGATAAAGTGCTTGAAAAGACAGTCGTTTAACGATAAATAACAATGAATCCATTCAACTCATACAAATTTCATTCACGAGATAGCATTATCATTATTTTAAAAAAGAGTTACTGTTCGCAGTCTAAATCACTGTATGGCTGCTTACTGATATTAACCTTTCCGTCTTATCAGATATCACGCGTTTTGTTTGATTATATATATACAAGGCAATTTTACCATCGCTTTGATTAAACCTACTTGTGGTTACATTGTATACTCACTTTTGAAACCCATTTATTCTTCGGAATACTTCAACAGTATAATTTTGTGAAGTTGGATTACCAAATCAATGCTTTTATTTACCCACTCAGTGTAAGAAATTGTTAACAATGCATAGGTAATACATGGAAAAGAAAGCAGTATATGTTTCTGCAAAGAAAACATGCTTCCTGTAAAACGCTCAATAAAGAGTTAGGACAACTTTCCTATTAATTAATCATTCGACAAACAATGATGTAAAAGTGACGAAAATTTAAACACAAAATCTACTGATCACTATTTAAAACAATATCAGTGTATTGATATATTTAATATAGGCTGAAAATCGAACTTTCAGGTTTAGATTAATAAAATGTATCGAAAATAAGAAAAGCTTAAACATTCGAAAGCCAATGGAAGTACAAACTCTTTCAAAAGTAATATTTAGTTGACTATTGATAAATATGCTTACTTGAAGAAGATCGTCTAATGATAAAGTTTCTAGGTAACGTTTAGTAAGTTCTCGACCATCAATATCAACTTCCGCTTTGAATCGTATTTCTTCACCACCAATCATAGTTGTTTTTATGTCGTATGTCCCGCGAATAATTTTTATGTTATCCATCACACGCATAATTGCCTCTTGATTTTCAACCGGAATAGCTCTATTCATAGTTAACGAATATAAAGAATCATATGTAAGGGAAATTTAGTCTCAATTCAAAGGACAGTTAAAAACTGAAACTATTACCTATATTAGACGAATAAGACATAAAACAAACAAAACGTCGGAAATAATGAAACCATTAACTCTCCCATCTAGTCATAGCGTATTTTAAACTCTCGGAACAGCCAAGAAACGCATGCAAACGTGAGGAGAGAAAAGGAAGTAAATATTAAATTGACGGAATTGTAGATGCACATTAACAGCCAAAAGACACAAGGACTTAACAGTCTACTGTGCCAAACATTTTTAAAGCTTATTACGATAGTTTGGTATGTAACACGGTCATATTTACTCTCATTCGTTACCAAGAAATCCAAGATTAGTCTATAACGTAATAACCTATGAATAGAACTCTAAATGGCCAATAATTAGTTTAAATAAACTTCACAATCTGAGTGCTCCAGAGGGATATTAAACTGGTATGTGATTGGTAACTATTTTTATTTATATTATTTTATTTGGACACATAAGTATTAGTGCAAAGGGCTACCGAATACATATTTACCAAACAAGTCACTCGATTTGTGTGTGGGTTGTGATACTACCCGGGTGCCCAAACCGAAGCAGGTAAGCCATTAGCAGAGGGCGGTCAGTAACTAAGATAACATCAAATATAGACACTTCTAAAAAACCAAATGAACAATGAAAAATGACTAGGATTAAGATAACAGAAATTTAAAGCAAACCACTGATCGTAGTTACTTTTACAGTAAAACTATTAATAAAGAAAATATTTGAAGCAGTTACCCTACCCTTATATGATGAAATTTAGGTCCAATGATGAGACAAAACTTGTCAGAAAGATGAGACGACGTAATAACTCAGCGCATTTTAGACCATTTAGTTTTACAAATAGTTACATAAATTCATATGTAGACTGGATAAACGGTCAATAAACAATAATTGAAAGAAAAATACGTCAAGCAGTGAAGTCTTTCTTTATTATCAACTAACATAATACAACCTACCTTCCTATTAACATTTCAGTATTCGTATGTATGATCAGACCAGCCACTGTAGCGAGAATTGCACTAACACAAATCCCTCCAATCGCATCAGGTAAAACATGTCCAGTGAAAGCAGTTACAGCCATAGCAGACCCTGCCACAACAACACCAATGACAGCAGCCAAATCTTCTAATAAAACCATACTAGTACTTGGATCAACTCCGGAAAACAACCAATGTCTAACGGAATAGAAGTTTTGACGTTTTGAACTTCTTTTAGCTTCGCGATAAGCCAACGCCAAGGTGCCTTAAGAAAGGTTGAGATAATTTTGAAATAAATTAAAACGGTAGAGAAAAGGTGAGAAAAAGACCTGCTAAAAATGATATGGATAGAAATTTTCAGATTTGAAATATATTGTGATCCCTAGAAATGTCATAATGATAATCCACTACCAAAAAACATAGTAACAAAGCACATCGTATGTACCACTGTAGTATTTTTTGGGAATGATATCAAATAACGTTTCTCCAGTTAATTTCATCAATGCGTACATTACCTTCTATCAGTTTCGAACCTTAATTAAACAGTTTTCGTACAAACAGTTGGACATACTATGTATACTTAACACCCTTCTCTCAACTCATACTGATAAAATGTCAAAAACTAGTATCCAAAGTGATTAGTTCTTTGTCGTGAATGCTCTGGAAGAGGATTAGATATGCTACTTCGATTTAGAGACTAATATCAATATGAACTGAGAAGCAGTTGTATGAGTTTCAGTAGTTTGAAAAATGAACGCCTTTCAACATACCACACTTGATTAAGTTATTGAAACTTTATAAATCTAAAATTAAATAGGCTCAAACATATAACTGTTTCCATCGAATTCAAATGTCTCAGAGGAATCCAACCGTAAATTACAATGAAGAAAATGTGACGGTAGTGTAGAATAAAGGAATTATATTTTGCAAAACTACATCCCTAACATAATCTATGTTTTACTGCTTTTATGAATAAAATAACTCATTATTAAAATTAATAGAATTAATGATAATTTTGTGAAAACCTAGTCATATCATATATGATCATAAATGGTTGCCTAAAAACAACTTACTTCCTTCGGATAAAAGCGAACCTAGCATGACCATCAAAGCCTAGATAAGGAAAATACGAGATAGACATAAACTAATGCAAGGAGAAGTAATTAGTAATTTTTAAAGTAATCTCATCTGTAAAAACATGAGTTAACTCATAAATACTGCAATTGATTTGATATTTCCCAACTCAGCTGTGAACATATGGTTCTCTGTAAATTTATTCTCTTTGAGTTATGCTCCTTTACAATACAAAAATGTGTGAGTGCATTTATACACTTGTCGGCTTACGAACCGTATACAGACAACATATCAGGTAGATTTAGTATTTTTCAGTGCTAGTATAAAATTACTGTGAAGATATATTTTCTGCTCTTTCTTCAAGTATACAAAACATGAGAAACTGATCTAATTGCTTGGCAGTACAAAAATTCACATTCAATAGCTTTTGAAGATTTACATAAGTATTACAAATGGAGAGTTTGCGTCCAACTCACAATCAAATATTACATGTGATGCTCGATTCGGATGCTACAAAAATCAGTTAAAGATTAATTTCGGCATTCATAACTGCGCTTTAAATGTTCAATTTCTAGAACATGCCCGACCAAACTTAAATATATTTGACTATAATATCCCAGTTGAATTTATGGCTACAACGGTAGCGTTACTTGAGGTCTCATTTGTAGCCGCATTTAAAAGCATCTTTTTGTATAACACCAAAATAGAAGGTAGGTCGGTAATATCCTTACCTTACAATATGCAATGGATTTGAGACAGTGAGCCTCAGATTCTGTTTCGATGTAATTTACAGCAAGTAATTAGGTATATCGATAGCTCTATGTCTAGTCCCCTTTATATTACATAACCTTTGGTTTTCTTGAATTTATATTTACAAAAAATTTTTGTTAAATCTTACTCTTGAAGATGTCTCTACTTTTACCATATTTTAATGTTAAGTAATATTCACAAGAATCTTATTATTCACTATTATATTTTAATCATGAAATATTAATACATAATAATAAGCACCGTTTGAAAGACAGACAAATTTTCGCATCAGATCATTTATGTAGCTGAAGCATACGTGGAACTAAAATCATTGACCTTAAATCCTATCAATTATTTATTAATTATTCATTTATTGCAAGAATAAAACATTAAAAAAATAATTACCAGATTAACAGATTCAAATTCGTGAGGCGCCAAAATGCCCTGAACACTATGATAAAATGTAAGACCAGCACCCAGGAAAAAAATGGCAACACCACTTATCAACGATGATACATTACGCATTGGAATATAACCGTACCTAATAATCAAGTATTATTGTAAAATACTTTGTTGAGATTAATGATATTCAAAAGGAAAATCAAACCAAACAAGAAAAGTGGCTTTTCAATGAAACTGAAAAATCACTTATACAATATCTCAAAACGGACTGTTCTTGATCGTGAATAAGAAAATTGCTATTGTTAGTTTGAACCACTAAGTAACATTGGCTAGACAACTGATAATCAGATTCCAAAGAATAGCTGTTTCCTTATAGCACGAGACTCCTCAGAAGTGCACATCCCCGACCCTAATAAGGACCGAACCAAGGTCTGGACTGAATTCCGCTAAGCACGGCCTCCTACCAGAGCACCGGAAATACTTTTCACAACTATTAACTAGTGAGAATAAAATTAATACCAAATGAGAAAATTTGCGGAGATTTACCAATTTGTGGTTTACATTACAGAGTGGCATTATCTAGACAGCCATCGAAAAACAGACAGCACTAAATAGCTGTTTTGTCGTAATAAAGGATTTCTTAATGATGTACAGCCACGATCATGATATGGTAAATTAGATAAAAACAACCAAGTAACAGTGGCATTTTGTAGTTAGTAATAAAGATATCAATAGATTAAATCATGGTCGATTTCAATTCCTTAGGCACAAAATACACTAGATTCAATTTTAAATGACAATCTAAAAAATTGAATCCCATTATTCTTGTTTTTTTTTTAATAACAAGATAACTGTTTACAACTAAGAAGTTAAACAGAAATTACATTCTACTTTGAGTCAAATAGTCTGCAAAACTTAGTTTAATCGCGAACTAAACATTACCAATCACTATTTTGGATTGTACTGTTCGAGTTCGGGTTTACTGCGCAGCAGTTCGTTCCGTTCTACTTTATTGCAGTGAAACAAGGCCGGTAAGAGTAGAGGATATTCGTAGGTTACTAGTATTTGATCATAGGTGTCTTCGAAATATTGCTCGTATATCCTGGGACTATCGAGTAAGTAACGCAGTTGTTAGGAAACGGGTACTAGGTAAGGATGGCAAATCCATTGATGACGTAGTGAAACTTCATCAGTTGAGATGGCTTGGACACGTGTTACGTATGCCCAACGACCGACTGCCTGGACGTGCGATGTTCAGTGGTACAGGAGTAAGTTGGAAAAAAGCAAGGGGCGGCCATACCAAAACATAGCGCAAGTCCATGAAGTCACTGACAAGTGGACTGAGTCATGTTGGTAGGTGTAGACTACATGGTTGGGGACCGCGAGATGATAGCAACCGATGGTTAGAGACCCTGAATGACATGGCTCAAAATCGTTTGCAATGGCGCAGGTGCATACACTCTTTGTGTTCTCCCAAATTTTGATCTCCTTATTCCTCTTTGTCTCTTTTTTTCTCTTCCCAAATTTATTTCACTGTATTATACTCTAAATAACGTCTCCAAACACTAATTTTCCCGATTACTGCTTATACTCTTATTACCTCTACCACTACGGGATTTGAATCGACCATTGCATCTCTGCTAATGTGGTGTGGCAACTCGAACTGATGTACGTACGTACGAAGATCTACGTTGTTACTGACTGACTGTTCGAGTGAAACTTGTATTGAAATACATTTCCCATTGAAAATCTAGTGTTGTTTTAACACTATACTTAATAAAGTAATACGACGCACATAAAGTAACTCTAGAATACGCTCATGAGGAACATCAAGTTAGAGACTGAATAAATCAGCAACGACATTTTAACACGATTTGTTTCGTAATATTCGTTAGCGTTTAATCACACAGAAATAAACAACTAAAACATGAACTTCTATATTGCAACAAAGTCGGTTAATACTATTTATTGTGTAATACTACCACTATTATATTTAAGAAATTATTTAATGAGCAAACTTATTAATTTTATCATACAGTAACAGTTTTTTTTCTTGAAATAGCTAAAATGTACAAATAATAATAGGTGATCAAATAATTTCGGTGCATGAGAATCGATTGTTATTTTGAATTGTAACTAATACACTAATAAACTATGTTCATTGCCTTCGCTCTACTCTCTGCATTCTATACTTTGCCATAGTTCTCCAAAGTTAACGTAAATTCATACTAATGCACCTAGATTCCAATTACTTCAAAAGGAAATAGTCCCATAATAATTAAGACAGCAATGGTTTTCTTTGCTCAAATGAATAAAAAACCCAGGTAGTTGATATTTATTCGTATGACAGCTATATGGTCTAACTGTGAACTAGGAGATAACGAACCAAATGGATACAAAGACGGTGGCGATGAAGCAGATAGATTTATTACTTATTCATTCCTAAGGATTGAACTTGGTAAAGTTACTTACTTTTCATTACTCGAATGTCTCAGCACGGATTCGAAAAGCTCGCTTGGCTTCTGCCGCCTTACGTCACCTATGGTGAAGGCGAGATATCCGTCATTCAATAAAAGGAAGAGTATACTGCGCGGCAGTCCGTTCTGTTTTGATTGACGGCAGCGAAACATGGCCTTTAAGAGTAGAAGACACCCGTAAGCTATTAGTATTTGACCACAGATGCCTTAGAAATATTGCTCGCATCTGCTGAGATCACCGGGTAAGTAATAGTGAGGGTAGACGCAGGGTATTAGGGAATGATGGTAAATCAGTTGATGAGGTTGTGAATTTTCATCGACTGAGATGGTTGGGCCATGTGTTACGTATGCCTGAACACCGATTACCACGACGTGCAATGTTAACCGGTGTTGGAGATGGTTGGAAGAAAGTAAAGGGTGGCCAAACCAAAACGTGGCATCAGTGCTTGAAGACACTAACTTCTAGTCTGAGCCATGTTGGTAGATGCAGACTACTTGGTTGGGGTCCGCGTGACTTTCGTAACCAATGGTTGGAGACTCTTGGTGACATGGCTCAGAATCGATCACAATGGCGTCGGTGTATACACTCTCTATCTTCCCTTAAACTAAGAGATTAAAATTGCTTCATATCTTTCTTTCTACGAACTAATTCTTTCTTCATGTACTATATCCTTATATGCAATCTTTCTCTTATATATTACCACCTCTGAATCCACTACTTTTATGAATCCGGTGTCCATCTTGTTGTGTTAATAAGGTATGGCAACTCGGACCGATGCATAAATGTGCCTGGTCCTACGTTGTAGCTGACTGACTGATTGATTACTCGAATGAATCCATTTCTTCTATTTCTTACCTACAATTTTTTAACCATTGTTGGTATTATTATCTGCACTTCATTGTAGTCGTATTCGCTAAGCTGATGTTAAATGTATTTTCTAGGAACGCCTTAAATTCTATGGTTATTTACCTAGTACATTGTAGTTTTGGCGAACAAGGAAGTACTTGATAATCCACATTGACGTACGTTTGCATTAGATCCTGTTATTAATTATATGTACCTTTTTGAGATTTTCCTTGATGGACTTATTGTTTGTGATTTGTCAGAACTAGAAACAGTACCTACACCTAAGTAAAGAGAAATACATGATCAAACTGTGTCTGTGAAAAAATAGTAAAAAAGTGACGTACTTAATAAGCTGTTTGAGTTAATGCTGAAAAACATTACTTCTAACAAAGTTCAAATTAAAAGCTACATTGTAGTAGATCCTATTGTTGAACAGTTTAAATACTAATGATTCAAGTATGCATAAAGTTAATTTACATAAGACCAAGTAATGAAAATACATAGTAACCAATGAAATCACACATCTAAAGGAACATAAATAAAAGAAAAGAGCTTACGGATGCGTTTCATCTGGTTTCTGAAGTGATGAATATAGACCATAAGCAACGAGAACCTAGAAGGTTGGGAGAAAACAGTAATTATGAATCACTCAATTAACTTATCTATTGTACCAAATAACAATAAACGAAGACTGTTTGATAAAAAACAATTGACGTGAAACAATTTTAAGTCACTGTAACTTAAAAAGAAATCCATAGAAAATCAGTGGAATATAAGACTCATGAAGCTGGCGCCTGAGACTTGAAAGAAGAATAAGGATGATTTGTTAAACAAAAATTGAAATGTACGAGAAGAAACGGTTTGAAAGGTTCTGGGACTAAAATCTTAAGTTATTAAAACTGGAAACTGGTCGGTTACGTACCACTGAAAAATTAATTTGGGTACTTTGCTATTTACTTACGTACAAATTAGGTCCTCTGTTTGAAGATGCCAGTGAAAACTGAATACTAAGAAAATAAGATTATAAAAGTTCCAGCTAACCCCTAAAGAAAATCAACTACAGCAAAGGTGGTAATATATAGGAGAAAGATTGCATATAAGGATATAGTACATGAAGAAAGAATTAGTTCGTAGAAAGAAAGATATGAAGCAATTTTAATCTCTTAGTTTAAGGGAAGATAGAGAGTGTATACACCGACGCCATTGTGATCGATTCTGAGCCATGTCACCAAGAGTCTCCAACCATTGGTTACGAAAGTCACGCGGACCCCAACCAAGTAGTCTGCATCTACCAACATGGCTCAGACTAGAAGTTAGTGTCTTCAAGCACTGATGCCACGTTTTGGTTTGGCCGCCCTAACTTTCTTCCAACCATCTCCAATACCGGATAGCATTGCACGTCGTGGTAATCGGTGTTCAGGCATACGTAACACGTGGCCCAACCATCTCAGTCGATGAAGATTCATAACCTCATCAACTGATTTACCATCATTCCCTAATACCCTGCGTCTACCCTCACTATTACTTACCCGGTGATCCCAGCAGATGCGAACAATATTTCTAAGGCATCTGTGGTCAAATACTAATAGCTTACGGGTGTCTTCTACTCTTAAAGGCCATGTTTCGCTGCCGTCAATCAAAACAGAACGGACTGCCGCGCAGTATACTCTTCCTTTTATTGAATGACGGATATCTCGCCTTCACCATAGGTGACGTAAGGCGGCAGAAGCCAAACGAGATTCCCGAGTTCGTGCTGAAATTTCGTCAGACACCAACCCATTTGGGCTGATCAGACTTCCAAGATAAGTGGAGTTATCAACGCGTTCGACTACTTCACTCCCTATCCATAGTTCAGGTGTTGACGCAGGCCAGTGCTGAAGCAACAACTTGCATTTAGAGGGAGAGAAACGCATTCCAAACATTCTGGCACTGTTGCTTAGTGCTATCAATAGACTCTGCACTTTACTAGCATCTTTACCAAATAGGACTATATCATCTGCACATTCTAAGTCGATAAGTGGACCTCCTGGTAGGAGATTAATACCCGAAAATTCAGTTGACAAGAACGTTGTTTTCATCAGTAGGTCTATGATGAAGTTAAACAAAAATGGAGAAAGTGGACAGCCTTGACGGACACCACTTGAGGTTGCAAAAGCAGATGACAGTTCTCCATAAGTCCTGACTCAACCAGTAGTGTTTGAGTAAAGATTTTTGACAGGGTTTGTGTACTTCTGAGGTAAGCCTTTCAATGACAGACACTGCCGCAGAATTCCGCGGTCAACAGAGTCAAATACTGCCATTAAAATCATCTCATCAGGCTCAGAACACAATGAAGTGCGAAAACAAATCAGACGAGAGCTTTAATAAAGTATTTAATTTTCGTTCTATATGTGTGCATAATCCTTAATAAATGACTAGATTACTTGAACGAAAACACGTTTTGTTTGTAAAATTTAAAGATATTCTTGAGATTTCTTGTAAGTAGATGATATAAGTGCAAAATATTGAAGAATAAACTTATGGGAAACTGAAATTCATGGATGATAGTTTTACCTTTATAGCTCCGGTGGTAAAATGCTAATGAAAGTGCCAGCAAATAGTGAAGCCATGTAAAAGCGGAATTGCTCAGATTATATTGAAACAGTGAAAAGACTATAATTTTAGTATGTGACTAAAAATAATCCATCTCTATTAGCAAAACGCCGGGCGTGCAAATGTTTTTCATTGAAGATAAAAGCTCAAAAGAATTGTGATGTTTCTCCCTATTAGTAGCTTATCACAAGGACATTATTAACACCACGACAACGGCAATGTTCTCATAACGATACTAAAAGGAATAGGAATACCAGTTAGTAAAATTGAAATGGATTGAAAAATAGTTTGCTTCATTCTTTTCGTATTGTTTGTGCTAATATATACACCCCACGATAATTTATAGTAATTAATATTACAGGCGTGAAACAATACGAGTGTATTTCTAATGTTACATAGAAAAGATATGGGTTTGAATATTTAATGCATGTTGACTTGATGCTAGGAATCACAAGCAACAAAGTTTTGTCGCCAAAACCGGTACACATACTTCTCTTTGGCTACTAAGTCCGGCTGGGTTATACAAAAAATATAACCCTTGCGTTTTGTGATGGCCACTGTAAAAGTTTCGGAATTTTATGATAGGTAGTCTAGTGATACATAGTATGTATAAAATGAGAACTGACAGAAAAGAGTACCTGATTCATCGTATCCGCAAGCGAATGCATCAACTCAGAAAACATGCTTTTAGAACCAGTATACCACCAACCGAAGGCTTTGGCAGCGACGTTGAGACCATTTCTATTGGAAATAAAATACAGAATATACAGTACCACTAATTGATTAACATAAATAGAAACAAATAAATACAAAATAGGACACAGTGCTCTCGCGAAACTATAACCAAGAGGGAAGCCAGCCCACTAACAGGTAACATCAACTAATTCAAAATATTCACCAAATAAACATCAAATTCCGATAACATAAGCAATCGAGAATAATAGTATATTTTTCAATATGTTTAGATCAATGGGCATCTTTTCATAATCTTATGAGCGAAAATAAAAAAAATATTAATGACACACTTGTACTTATGCTGAGGAAGATATTACGTGAAAGAGATAAAGCACATACATCTATTCGAATTATCCATACGAAATACGAAACCTCGTTCACCGCCTCACGTTATGTCCTATGGCCCATTAAATACCACGTGATAAAATCGCCAATTGGAATACCGAACTATATGACCTTGTCCCTGAGCTAAACCAATGATCTGTTAACCAGCACGAACAGTCTAGAGTCAACTCTGAGTCCTTATTGGTCCCCTGTAGAGTAACTTCTCGCCTAGCCCAGCCCATTCAGTCCAGAACACAAATTTCAGCCTCCGCTGCATGAATCGTATATTTTAGACACACGTGATTTATATGTAAGCTAATCAGACCGTATAATACCATAAAATAAGAATTTATTATTATACAAGGTCAAGCCAAAAGAGACTGTAAGTATGGGAGATTTTGGCTAATAAATTGGGAATGAATTAAAAATAGTTAATTGTGTAGTAATAGATAATAGGTCAAATGAAAGCTTACGATAAAAGCAATATGAACATATGCATAATCTGGTTACTTAATGGTCACACAATAAGAATATATGTAATAATAGTCCAAAAATAATTCTTAGAAGTTATCATTGATTTATTCTTTGTCTGGATATAACACAAGTAAAACCACAATAAAAAATACCATCGGGTAGATATTCCACTAAACGAAGATAAATATAGCCGTATTCTTAGTGTTAATTAGAATGGTACAAAAATAGTTGCATATGGTCAAAAATCCATAGATATGGCCACGTATACAATGGGACTCGTTAGCTATTGTTATTTTGCTATCGCATTCTTAGTAAACAGTAATATTAATAAAATCTATCTTAGCTATGTTTTTACTTTGTTATTTACCACTATTTTTCCTTTTCATAATGTCCTATTTTTAATTATTCACAAGATAATCTTTCCTGTTAATAGAGTAAGCTTTACTGTACTCTTCTATATCCGATATTTCTGCATTAGACGGTAGTAGGATATATTCAACTATGTTGAGCGATTAAAAATAATGGAGAAGCTTGTATATCTGACAGTAAATAAACTACAAAAAGGTAACTTAATGTGTAAAATAATTTTTAGGGAAAATATTATGACTGCTAATTACATAGGAATGAAGAATAGATGCATTTGAGTTACAACAGAATATTTTCAATCTTTTACTTCGTGTGTTTTGAGGACTGTACTTGAGTTGACACTATATTAACAACTTGATACAGCAGCCACTAACTCTATGAATAGGTCTTCTACCCCATGTTAATGACTCAGAAACTTTCGCTTTACTTCTATTCCAGACACTACTATGTGCCCTCAAATGCCCTGGTAAGGCTGAGAGTGGGGAGAGTCCGCTCTCCCTCTCGAAATGCTCTCACATGCCACGCGTATATAGCCCCTGCCAGGGAAGTCCTACTCACTGCCTTCCCGTGGCAGGAGTGTTGTTTACGGAATTGAGAGGACGAAAAGCGAATGTCCGGCGCTTTAACCGGGTTGGTGGACATGGAGAGTCCACCTTTGGCAGTTGGAAAACCCTTTTTCCGAACCAATGGTGCACATAGGCTCCAGAATCCTGAAGGAACAAATGGCGTATGAACCAATTATTGGTCGCCGGCTACCATGGGACTGAATCTCCTTACGATGCTCCACTGCTTTGTGGATCAGACATTTAGATCAAAGGCTACGGGTGTGGTCCCTAAGAAAACCACCTGCTTCGGTTTGGGCACCCGAACAGTATTACAGCCCTCACACAAACCAAATGAGATTTGTGTAGCGCATATGTATCTGCTAACCCCTTGTACCAGTATTGATGTGTTCGAATAACAAATAATAGTAACACTACTATGTCACAGTACAGAGTATAGTAGAATGTGCAACAGATGTTGATCACCTTGGGCAATCAAAGTTTAAAAATCCAGGAACCAATCAACGTTTTTACTAAACACTAACTCCAGGATTTATTAGCTGGTGGTCCTCAGTAGCATGAAAGTAGGCACCATTGTAAATCAGAACCAATGACTGTAGGTTTTATACCCTCAAACACTTAAAAACCATTTAATAGGTAAAAAAATGTGCTCCAGAATAGGAAAACCTTCATATGGTCTCTAAAACGACTCAGTTAAAATCAATCACAGGTTAGTGCAGCTGCCGGAGCTACAATTAAGACAGTCTTGCAAAATTCAGTAAGCAAATGAGCTGGTCGAAATTATCTAAATAACTCACATTGCTATTGCGAAAAGAACAACACGACCAGGGCCCGACGTAAACAAACTTTTCCGTTTATCCATAAAAACCTGTATCAGAAAAAATATTAAATATTTGAAAATACTATTTACGATTACATGATAAAGCCGTAATCATAGAAACAGGGAGAAGATATTTCGATTAAGCGGCGAAACAGATATAATACATGAAGATCGAGTTTGCACAGTAACTCAAAAAAGAGTTTAGTTATATTAAGTAATATCCTTTACTAAAACCTTGGCAAAAGTTGGAAGAGTTACGATACGATTAACACAACTATCATGTTCATACATCGAAGCCGATAACTAGTAGGACTACAAATATGCAGCTTTTTGTAGAGCTGTGCAGTTTGTAAAAGAACATTTAGGTAACAATGAATATAGTTAGAGAAGGGAAAAACAAGTGATAGAATCACAAGTGACTTGGTACTCCAGTCGTTTTTTTAAAAACACCCAAAGCAATACATGTAAAGTCATCTATTAGTGGCATGTACTTTACTAGCGAATTAGGATTATGAAGTCAAATGGCAAGTGCTTGTAAGTTAACAAAAATAAGGATGAAGCTAACTCATCCACCAAATGCCTGGTTAAGAGCTACAGCCTAAGGGCAAGAGGTGATGATACTAACCGGTCGCCCAGGTCGAAGTAGATGGAGCAGGGTTCGAACCTGGTGCTTAGTGTTTTAAACCGAACGCTTTAACTACTAGGCAATCACTCCAGGCTAGTTATACCGAACTAAAAAAAACACGAATTACGCTTGAGAACTGAAAGCAGAGCACAAGGAATCCGCAAGTAAAGATACCTTGTTTATAAATAAAGGAAAAAATAATAGAGAATACTGAGTATTTTTCTCGGTTCTTGCAACACCAATTAATATCAACGAAGTGACAAGTGACGTACCGAAGTCCCAGTCACCTTGGCTTCTGCCGAGTCTTGAAGGTATTTTAAGGCCTTCCTTAAATTGAAGATTTCTAAGAGATCATGAAAATCAATTATATACCTACCTGTTTTGGTTCTTCGCTCCATATCCTTCATGAGTTTCCGTCGTAACTCAAAATCATCATGGCCTCCGTGCTTTGCGTAAGCCCTTGAAGTGAAACATTAGATATTTGGATAAATTACATTTGCTCTACATCTGATCGGAGGAAAACAAGAGTTTTAGTTTCATTGCCATACGGACTTCGGCTGTAATAACGTGGTAACTGATCTAAATCACTTCAAGCATTAACAACACAAAATTCGAGTGAGACTTGAAACTTACTGTTTGTAAGCATATATTCTCGTAATGCTCTAAGTGGTGTGATATACTTCACAGACTTGACAGAATCATCATAAGAAAAGCTTGTTTTAATTTTTGGAACCACTGACCAACTAGTTATCATAAGTTTTTTTTATTACCTTTAGCATTGATCTTCTCAACTGGAGAATCGGTAATACTCTTGGGACCTGAAGAGCTAAAATTCCTGTTGAATAAATCAATGCGAGTGTGACGTGATATCCTGATTTTATGGACCAAGTAAGGCGTAGTAAATAAATGTTTGGTAGACAAGTTAAAGCAACGTCGAAATGTGTCCTTAGTAGAACTTAATATGGCACGACTAACTATGAAGTGAGCATTCTGCATAACTTTAAACTAGAGAACATTCAATTCGTCATTTACAACTGTTAGCAAATATCAAAGTGACCTAGAAAATGTCGAAACTCCCTCGCTTAGGACCAAATTGAGAACCAAAGACAAAGATTTCACATTTGTTCAGATTCCGAGGCCTCGTATTAGTTCTTCAATAATATAACTTTATAAGCATGATCTAGAGGTGAGGGTATCACGATAAAGGCAAATTAATCCCAAAATCAATAGCTCTGTAGGCTCTCGACCGTTGATGTAGACACATTATTTGTAATGGACTCAACTAGCTGAAGGCGCTCGGTTACGCATCCGCACCAGATCACGACAAAGTAGGCTGTGCTCTGCGTCTCCTACGACCACTGGCCAGCTTAGATTTATCACTCCTTGATATATCGGTAGCCTATCAAATATATCTCCGGACCTCTTCTCATTTAACTCTTGATTTGACTGTGCTGGAACATTTTAACAACAAAATGTGTTATTGGTTAAGATACTGTCAAACTCTGAATGCTCGTGGCATCTTTGAAGGCGTGCCCAACGTGATCTGTCACACTAATTCGGAAACTGTGAATCTGTCCCTTATTGGAACTTAATATATCATGTAGATAAATGAAATGTGAAGAATACAAAGTCACTGAAATGATGAAAATATCAAGGACACTGGGTCACAGTAATCTTTTCGATGGATTTTCAAGATTACAGTTGAAAACACTGTATGCAGTGATAGAGGATTTTAAAACTTATAAACTGTTTTCTGGATGCTGCTATGATAATTAGTGGCATTCGAATCGACTTCATTGAAGTACACCTAACCTTTAAATTTACATCTGGAGAAGAAAGCGGATTTAGAATAATCTTTTAAACGTTCTCTTAACCGAATGAACTGATGGACCAATAAGAAGATACTTAAAGAATAAAATATACCTTGACAGAACAGTACGCACATTTGCTTGCTTTTGTACCTCTATGGTTCAGAAGAAACGTGACCGAAACTCTTAGCTATCGAATACATAATATATTTTCCACGCATATGGTTGAAAAAGAGCTGAACGCCTTGAGTAGTACACTTAAGGGAAGACGGATACCCTGGAAAAATCCTAAACAAATATGTGATCACGAAGGTTGGACCACACGGTGAAAAAGAAATTCCATTTCATGCTTCCAAAAGCCAGAGAGGATGCACCTAGCAAAATAATAATCCGGAGATTATGAGGAACAATCCAAAAATCATTCAACGCTGCGGAAGCAGTAGCCACCCGGATTAAGAAACCATAGCTGTGTGAAAGGAGTATCTTCAACTATTTATCCCAACCTGGCCATCGACAGTGATAAATAATCAGTGGTAATCTTGGCTACTGAATGACTTAGTTTAATCAATGTACTTACAAACTTTGTTGGTCAAATATAATTGTCTCTATTATATTTATTCACATATATGTGTGGTGGACCAGACAAATATGAACGCAAAAAGTATAAACAAAGTTACTAAAGTTAAATAGTAATATTAATATATACAGTTAATTGTTACAAATACAATAAAAATTAGGGACGTTACTTAAGTTGACCCAACGTTGCGTGTTCTGATTAGGTCCGGTAAGGTAAATCCACAATTATGAATGCTTGATGATTCTGAGCAAGTTGGTGAACTCTATAGTGATATAATCTTAAGTAGGATGTGATATATTCCAATTACAGTCTATAAATAATGATAATATTTGATTTAGACTTCAGTTAACTCAATCGTAAATGAAAATAGAACGAGGGATGCGTGAATAGTAATGTATTTGTTAGTCGGCAAGAATATGTCACGCTAAGTAGTAGCTCAACGGAAAAGGAGTGTTCAAGGTCCTTGACTAAAACAACACGTACAGTCATTTAATGATGAATGTACATACAGTGAAAAATTGACAAACAAATACAAATAATATTGAAACTATTTACAAAATAAGGTTGTCAGGTCTATCTCCACATAGCTCCCCCCAGAGTGTCCGGAGGTCACACTGGTTATAATTAAAAAAATGTAAGGATAAGATATATATACATGCATACAAAAATAATATTTACAATTATAGCTAACAAAAATGTGGAGATGAGTATGACATGTAGCAGAGATGTAGCATAGCATAATAAACACACACAAAAAATATGAAGACGCTGTCATTCAATGTCTTGGATGTCTAACAATGATGATAATAATGTACAAAACTGCTAATGACCCAAAAAGAAATTGACAAACAAATACAAATAATATTGAGACTATTTACAAAATAAGGTTGTCAGGTCTGTCTCCACATATGTATATTGTTATTGTTATTGGTTTAACGTCATTATTGATCTTCCGAGTACATGATTCATTTACTTGATATTCATCCCACTTGATTATTCTTCATTGATTTCACATAGAACTTTTACACAACATAGTCTTCCGCCAAACATTTGATCTAATTTGTAATTGCACTGTTATTTCTATCACCCTGTCCTACCCATATTTTTTCTAATCACGAATCTTAACATTTCACTTGACGTATAGGCTGACTGAAGTAAATGATGAATATGAATCATCCCAACATTAAGGACTTTATTTTGTTTAACAATCCTAAATTCACATGCTATAACTTTAAACGTTGAACGCGGCCTAAACCTGACCAATTTTTGGATTATTAATCCGAATATATATTTGTAGAACCTGATGGGAATTTATCGAGAAGAATATTCATCGTTCATGTATTGGTCTTTTATTGTGATGAGGATTTTTGAAAAAACTAAGGATTTCCGAAATAGTGCAATTTAAGGCAGGTAGTAGTAGATGAGCACAACTAGGTGGGTTATATTTAGAAGTTGTAATTAACGTGTAATCAAGTAAAAAGGAGTCATCAGTTAGCACAGTTCTGCCAAATTTCCCTAACTCGTTAAGTGATGCTTAATGTACTAAATAAGAACTGAAATAGTAAAGTCACGTAATCTATGTTTCAGCCGTTGATTTGCTCGACATGTACATTAGTAATAAACATGGTTCGCGGTTCGATAGACAAAAGGGGAACTAAAGTTATGGTAGCATTGGATAAATATCATACACGGACCCCAAAATTATAAAGGGTTTTCTTATACATCGGCGAAATAATCACTAGCGATTTTGTGAAATAGAAATAACACTGACAATACAATATCCATCACTTGTATTTAAATAAGTTCAGGTCTTCATAAGATTGGTCTGATCTTCATTATACTGAAATGAGTCAAAACCGTCCAACACGTCAATTACTTAATGCATCTTGAATTTTTATAGGTCAGCAGAATAGTGGAGCAAGATTAACAGATAGAGACAACTAGACAATGATATATCAGAACATGTCACAAAATTCAGTTGATTGGACTGATCACATAAATCTAGCTATCACATCCTTTGTCGGAATGCTTTGTGGTGTGAATTTTACATATCCATACTAACTACGTAGCTAACACAAGGAAATAGTTTACGTTAGCTCCTGCTATGAGCTAGTAGTGACGCTTGATCTGGCATCATCAGCTTGTAGTGTCCATTAGGAGGTTGTGAGCAGTGTGCTGGACTATAGGGGACCATAATCCTCACGTGTATTCCCGCCGTGGAATTCATTATCAAGTGAAGTGATCCAAAGAACTTCAAAAGCCTCATCTGAGAGTATTTATACACATTGTCAAAGACGCAGAATAGTATTCCACACTAAATTACTAATACTTCTACTGTGACTTGATTCATATAAGTTCATCCATACCGTGTGGAGTCGGCGATCCATTTACGATAGGCAAGAAGGTTTATAAAGAGAAAACTCCTTCCAATCTTTGAGCAATCATTATAAGCATTTTGCTGCAAGAGCTGAGGATAGTATTGGAAAATAGTTCGACACAAAAGTGGTATTGAATAACCTTAACATAGTACTTTTAAGTATAAGGTTGTTTGTATTCATGCATTCGCACACTCTGTATGCGATGTTGTCGCGCCATTATTATTTATTATATGTTGAACAGGTCTTGCGTCAGGTCTCTTCTAAGGAGGAGGTGACGTTCCGATCTCGCTACAAATCATAAAATTACTGTGGAATGGCCAGCCGATAACTTCGGAAATATTTATTTGTTTAAAGTCCTGCAAATATACGTCCTAATCAAGTGTGTTAATTGATCTGTAATTCCACCTGACGAATAAAGTTTGGAATGTCAAGTGCCCAGAAGATTACTTACTCCTTAAAGATGTTTCGGCGGTCACATCCTACCCACCACTATTATACAACAACGGTATTCTGAGCAATGTTGAGGTTTGAACGTTGACACCCTCGATTAAAAAAGACTTGTTAGTTTGTGGAACAAGATGTTACCGGAATCAGGATTCAAAACTTTTGGATATTAAATTAAAAGTACTTATATATAATAATTGGCTGACACTACTAGAAGGGATTCTCCGATAGCGCTTTATGTTTTGCTGGAGCATACCCTGACGCCAGCAAATTCGAAAATTTTGAATATGATACTACTCCCATGATTTGTTGTTATGCATCACAAAAACACAAGTGTAAAATATTTGTGCCTTTTGTATGAATTTGTATGTAAATGTCTTCAAATACAAGTCTTTTGTGACCAAAACTCGTTGAATGTGAAGTTAACATTTTCGGTGATTTCGCCTAATTATTTATTGACGAGTGTTACCTCTCGTGGAGGAACACAGGGCGCTGACCAGCATTCTCCATCCAACCCTGTCATGGGAAATCTTTTCCATTCGTCATTCATCCCTTTGATATCTGCTTCCAATTCTCAACGCAGTGTGCTCTTTGGCTTTCCTCCTTTTCGTTCCCCTTCAGGATTCCAGGTTAGCACTTGCCTTGTGATGCGGCTTGGTGATTTCCTTAATAGATGTCCTATCGACTTACAACGTCTTTCTCTAATTTCCTGCTTAGCTGAAAGTTGGTTTGTCTTCTCCCACAGTAGGTTGTTGCCGATGGTATATGGTCATATAGCTGTCTCATATTTCCTTCTCATGGAGCATTATCCGCTGCCGTTGCTAGTTTTTCCACGTATTTCTGCTTGTCGGCGTTAATGCTCCTATT